CCATGCTGAGGGGGGTGGATTTTTTTGGCCCACTCTAGTTTACCTGCTGTGAATTTTTGAAGTCTCTCGTTCAAATTAATGGAGTTGCGCCGGCTGACCCATGCGCAGATGCGTTTTTTCACAATTTTCTTGTGGGCGGGACCACTCGCGGCCATTTTGGATATTTCCAGTAGAGCACATTTTTTGGCCCATTAGGTAGAACGGCGGAGATAGGCGTGACTCTGTCCGTTAATATATACAGTCTATGGTGCAAACCTGCCTACAGACAGACACTCTCTCTTTCTCTCTCTCTCTCTCACACACACACATGCACACGCACACGCACACACACACGCACACACACACAGACACAGACACACACTCTCACAGATGAGCACAATACCTCCCATGCTCCCTCCATTCACAGCAACAAGGTCCTGGTTTTGATTGCACCTCCAGATGGGGACTTTCTGTGTGGAGTTTGCATGTTATTTTTTGTCTACGTAGATTTCCTAAGGGTGCTCCGGTTTCTCTTACCACAAAACATATCCCGTAGTTCAGGGTTAATGAGTGCGTTTTGTGAGTGCGCCTGTTAGAGAATGGATGGAAATGAGTTGTTCAGTAATATACACTGTCCCATTAAACCTAATGATCAACATGTGGCCATATGTCGTCAGATCTCTGAAGCTGTGCAGGGCAGGGTCTGGTTAGTTCTATGATGGGAGACCTCTGGAAACTCCAGATGTCACGGTGGGGCGGCTGTGGTGCTGTAAAGTGCCAAACTGTTGTTGTGTCCTTACTCAAGGTGTCTCTATGGCTATTGTTGTAGTTTATCACCACTGTGTAAGTGAAAGAATAAAAACATGTGAAGCATCTTTGAGTCCATGTTGGCAGAATATCAACTGTAATCACCAGGTGATACAACCTCTTGTTTGTTCTGGTGTCTGTACAATCTTTTTTCATTCATTTTATCTAGGGCTGTCAAACGATTCATTTTTTTAGTTGATTAATCGCATAGTAATGGTGAGTTAACTCACGATTAATCGCATTTTTTACATTTTATTTCAAATCAACTCCAATTGAAGTTAAATGAGATTTTCAAATGTAATGACACATTGTTATTCAGACCAAATGTACTTAAATCTGTTTGACTTGCTCACAACCTTCTACTTTTGGGTACAACCAACAAGAGCTGTTAATGAAAGGGAAAATGTAGGTACCCCAGCTTTAATTTTGCGAGTTTGGTTGCATTTCAGCGTGTCTCCTCCTCTCCTCCGTGTGTCACACAACATCAGAGAATGGCCCCTGTGTGTGTATATATATGTGTGTATTATACTGTATGACCACGTTACCGCTGTCACCATCACACACGTGTGAATGCCATGTGTCCGTGGCATTCTGAGTGATATTATTATAAATGGGCGGGTCATTCGGACATGCGTTAATTATTTTTTGACGTGTGAATGAAAACGGTAATTAACATGAATTAACGCGATAATTTTGACAGCCCTAATTTTATCACAATATAGGGTAAACAACATTTCATTTTTCTACGTGTCTGTAAGTTTTGGATTGTAAATCTGATGCTCCTCCTGTGTGTGGACATGTAATAACACGACACATAGCTCCTCTTCACAAATTACAATGAAGAAGCATTAATGGTACGCACCTGGTAGACTCAATTGACAGTAACTCATAAATGGGGATGTAGGCAGCGGTGAATGAGGTCTTTTCACATGAATGATGCAAAATGGGGGTGATGAAGTGACTCTTTATGAGTGAGGATGGCAGGCATTTTGGAGAGGCCCCTAAGAGAGGCACAGTGTCTTGTTCTCAACGGCCATGAGAACAAAATCCTTCTGGACTAGATTGAAATTTTAACTGGAATTCTTTTTCACTCAAGCAAGAAGGGAAAACAAAATATGATCTCTTTTTGTGTTTTGCCATAAGGAAATCACATAATTTTAAGAAGAACTTGTGAAATCTAGGAACAAAAGCCAAAACCAGTCAGGGAATTGAACCCATGTTACAGTTATGAGATTAACAGGAAGCCACTCTACAGTGTTAGACCTACATAAAAATAAAAAAAAGTATGTATCATAGAATATACAGTACGTACAACACAAATCCACCAAACACAATAGCATACCTTCCTACATACTCGCCCCATTCTTTGTTTTATGCTGAAACATTCTCTCTTTCCTCCACAAATTTCTTCTTCTCTCGTTATACAGTTTTTTGAAAAATATGTACAATCAGGTTTGAACATGTTTTAAAATCAATCCATTTCCAATGAGTAACTCCACACACTGAAATGCAGACTGATATTTAAAGTTACGACATTTTTTTGTTTTGTTTCTTCTTCCTCTAGTCTGTGATTATGATGAGCATCTCTGTCATGGAAGCAGTTCTGTAAATTAGGTGGCAGATAGTTTTGAGATGATATCTGCCACTAGACATGTTCAAAGGGCCCATTGTGGCACACTGTGTTATGTTATATGGACCTCTGCTGCTGTCAAAGTAGCCATAGAGATAGTTTCACGCAGTCATCCAGCCAACTTCAGCTCCACCAGTAAAGTCATTCTATAACTCGTTGTATAGCATGACATATACTGACATTTGTTTTTGCTTTGTCACAAAATTCGATATGTATGGTGCAAATGCCATGCATACTGTATGCAGGCCATCGAGCAGAGCGGTGATGGTTTATGTCGGTGTAATAAATTAATCTTGAATCTTGAATCGTGAAATATTTTTGTGGTGTGAATCAATATGGACATAGCCCATTTTAAAGTCCAGATCAGCTCGAATCCAGTCAAAAAAAGTTTTATAACCCATTTTGTCAGCCCCTGGACAAGTTTGGTGACCTTAAAGTGGTCCTCTTACTAAAAGGTTTGGACACCCCTGCCCTAAACATTATCTGAGCAGATTTTTTAAGTCTATCAAGTCCAAGTTATTTGTAAATTAGGTGGCAAATAGTTTCAATGAACAGTGGAATAGAAAGATAGTGGACATTCGATACATACATACAACATACAATCAACATTTTCTATTCCCAAACAACAATAAAATGGTTTCTCTGGTTTGTTTACAATGGAACAGCAGTTGCCTTGTGTTTAATGTTTTCAGTTTTCTGCTCCAAACCTGGCTCCACGTGTCGGGATTGCGTGTGGCCTGCGTATACATGGCCTATGTCACATGTTACCCGTGTTCATCAACCTCTCCTCTCAGTCTATCCGGGCCACGCTCTTCGGCGACTTTGATGCATTTTTGATTCGCTGTGTATTACAATAATCTTGTTCACCCCAGCTTAAAGATCTGGGGTTATGGGAAGAAAGGCCTTTGCTCTCGGTCTTTTCGCTTCATCAAAATCGCTTTCGTCCGGTGCCACTGTGCAGGCTCAACTTGGAAGTGGTGAAAAGATAAGGGTACCAAATCCCTCCGCTACAACAACAAAACAACACTGTAGCCTTTTGAGTGTGACTGGCCACAAGGAAAAGCACCATTCTATAGCAAGTGTCTATCTATCTACACACTCCCCACAGATGTTGACACTGTTTGTTGTGGGTTAAGATGTCCTCTAAAGACCATTGTTCTGTTTGAATCTTCTCGTTTATTGAGTTTGTCCTCTCTCACTGATAGAGACCAGAGGAGAAAGCGCTGAAAGACCTTCGGATGGCGGTCCACGCTCCAGGGGGCCGTTCTGCTGAGAGAGATCCTTCCAAAGGGCGGCATTGTGGGTAGCAGCAGGCAGTCAGCGGGGTATGTACGCTGGAAGTATTGTGTTGCCCAATAGACCCAAGTTGCACTCCAGAGCAGGGTCAGAGGTTGGACCCCTGTGGTGTGTTCCGTACCTGCCCTATAAACCCCCTTTCTTTAATTCTGCTTTCCCAAAGAGACATACGCACTGACAATAAACGCACGTCATCATGGGTTAAAAACACGGCATAAACATTATAGTCAATCTACATCCGTGTAATGAATTGGTAAGTCCATTTCAACAAACGAGCAAAGAGGTTTTCCGCTCCAATTGAATGCATAATATAAACAAGTTATAATGTACTGTTATCGGTGCTGTTTATGTTAGCTTGTCAAACATTGCATCAGTGCTGAGCCATCTCACTCCCCTATAATGTCTTATCTCCACAACTCGCTGCGTCCAGGGATTTTTCTTTTTATCAGCATTTCAGAGAAAGTGATCTCATGTTTTGTTTTAGGGTTTTTTCTGTTTTTTGTACATGTTTTTTTTATGTGTAATTGGTTGAATTTACTATTATAAATTCGCCTACATTTTGTTTTCTAACGAGTGTTTGTTTTAAGCAATATTTTGGGAAAAAAATTAGACACAACATGCTGTCTTCCTCTTAATAGAAAACATGATATCTTTTTACACTCAGCTGATTCGCTGAGTGAGGACTGTTACTCTTTGATCTGACCTGATCTAATCTGATGTGACAGAAGCTGATAATATATTCATGTGAAAACTGTTTTAAGAGCAAGGAACTAACTACATGAATTTTATTACTAGTTGATTTTTTGTGGTTTCAAAGTTAGGCACCCCAACTTTAAGATATTAATTGTTCTTGAATAATACTTTTATCTTTTAGCATTAGTATGAATTAGATTTGCCATCTGCAGTCAGAAAGACTAACAGAATAAAATGGTGGGTTTGTGAATCTAATCACTATCAAATCATGCAAACATTTGGACATTTTATTTTTCAATATTTCTTTCCAAAATTGCTTCCTGTTAGAGTTGTATTGTTACCTGCCCTCCAACTGAAATAGAAATCTAGGAAATAAACACAACCTATTCTTGACATCTGATTCTGATTCTCCAAATGTTGATAAGAGACCACAAATGCTTCCAGACGAGCCTCCTGTTTGAGTGTGTAACCTGCTTCACAGTGGGAGACGTGTTGACAGTACTGTGATGGCCGCTGTCAGGGATGATGTATGTGATGACCTCAGATTATCAGTACATTAACCCTGGTCGTGGGGAGTTGTGTGGCTCTTTAAGCTATGACCCTCAGTCCCTTAAGGCAGCCGCAGGGGGTCCTCTGCCTCTGCTCTCCCATCCCTATTGTGCACCTCACTAATGTCCATTCTTCTCTCATGGGAAAAGCAGCGCTGTGGTCAGTGTGGGCGCTGCAGGTAGGCCCGATTGCTCCTCCAGAGTCCTGCTGATAGAAATTAGCAGTCTCCCTCTGGGCTTCTTTCTGTCCGTGTCAGCTGCGGGGCCCCTGATGGGAGATTTGTTGATATAATAACTCGATTAGTCTGTGGGATGGATGACATTTTGGCAGTAGGCCAGTGAGCAGCACGAGGGGAGCTGCTAACTGACCTCTCCTTAGGAGGCAGCAATTAGCACAAGTCATTTACGAATTAGCAAGTTTAAGAATGTGTATTCTACTTTATTTACACAGAAGGACATGTGAATTACATAATTATTACTGAGTTTTAGTGACTTCTAACAACAATCATTAAGAGAAGGAGAATTATATAAATACATTTTCAATAGATATTTGTATTTTGCTGTAACGTTTAGTATAGTATAGTACAAATAGTATAGTTCACTTTTATCAGGTTGTGGACAGGAAAAAATATACAATAAGTATATATTATGAAGAAAGAAAAAAACAGCCATTCAATTGGCTGTTTTCACTTCCTCACTCTCTTTTCCTCATGCTATTCTCCACACTTTCATTTCAAATGAGATAATTCAATTAATGTGGCCAAGGCCTGCATTTTAAAACACGTCCTTTTTGTCTGACAAATTTGCATCATAAAACTGAGCCACCACACTGAAGGTCCTCAGAAGTTTGATGTTTTTAGAAAGACAGCCATAGCAAGGGAAAATATACATTCACACTGAACCAAGGGTATTACCTTGACTGCAGCAGTGCCCTCGCTGTTTTCACATGTAAATCTCTCATAACTGCACAATGTGATGACAAAGGCAGTGTGGGCTCCCAGACTGAGCCTCTTGGATTCATTTTTTTTTTTGAAGGTTTTGTCAATGGACCTTGCACTAGACTCTGGTGAAAACCTTTGGTCACAACTTTTCTTCATTATTGGCTTGTAGGTTTTCAAATGTTCTGCAATAATCTGTCTTCATTCTTTCAACTTGTGTTTTGTTTGACTTCAGATATGTTTTACCTGTATTATTCCTCAACATATCCAACGACAGAACAAAACAAGATGAGACATGTCTAGGCCATTTGTCTTCATTTTTACTTTACATAATGGTTTCTGCTTTATTGATTTTTTTTGGGTGCAGCTCGCCAGCGTTAACCCTTCATATTATCAGGATCTTTATAGAAGTACATATAAGATAATCATATATAAAATAGAGAAAATTATCCTAATATACACTTAATAGAGTGGCCTTTTTACAGATGATTCGGCCACGTTAAAATGAATTAATTTAGTTGAATAAGATTTAATAAATCTCCATTGAAACATGCATTTGGTAAACCATCAGAAATATGTTCCGTAAATTCAAAGGTTTTACTATGTTCTTTTTTGTAATTATTACCAAACTTACTATATTATTATCATTTTTTGAGAAACAATTTTGGTCAAAACGTATCACTACTTTTCTCAAAACCCTTGAGGATCTCTCTAGGTTAACATATACTGTAGTAACTTTATAAATGTGTTAAACATGACTGAAGGCCTATGTGCTTATCGTGCAGTACTTTACTTCCCACAAGCTGTTATTCATCTGAACAGAGGGCAATTTATTTTTGTATAGCCCTAAATCAGTGGTCTCTCGGAGGGACTTTACAAAATTGTCACTTTGACAACACAGATCAGAAAATCACAGGAAATGCAATAATACCAAACACATACTGGTCCATAGGGGGCAGAGGACCAATGTCTGTAAATGTTAATAAATGTCCATAAACGTTTTAGTATATTCTGCTTTTTGTATTTGCATTTTGATGTTCATTGTGCACTCTTAGAATCATGCACACATATTCCAATGGTGTTGTTAAATGTATATAGCAAATAAAGAGAATCTGAATCTTCTCCCAACTTTATTCTGTCCAGCCCATTGCCCATAGTGTTCTTTAATTAGCTCCTCTCCATCCGCTGCTGTGTCCACTGCCCTGACCCCTGGCCGGAGCTCACAGTGGGGATTGGGTGCGCTGCATTCAAGGTGTTGCCATCTGCGCTGCCCCCTCCTCAGCAGACAGGCCCCAGTGTCCCGGCCTAGTGGGATGGAAAAGTTGCTTACAGTGCGGTGTTGGTAAAGCTTTGTTGGATGTCTTTGGAGGACGAGGGCTCCAGGAGGACACTTGTGTGCAGGCTTTGGTTAACTTGTAACTCACTGAGCCTTGAGTGCACAAGATTTAGACTGGGATCAAAACACACAGTCTGATAGCTCCAGGACATTCACGGCCATTCACTTTCTGTAATAAAAGATTGAAATGTGAGGGCTTCTCTGCATGTCAGAAAATGTGGGAACTTAGTTAAAAATATATGATAAGTCATTAAAATTAGTCAAATGGTAAACAGATTTTTTGTGTAATACAGTTAGTCTTATTGTTGTTGCTCTAATCCAGAATGTGTAATAATAATAATGACAAATATTACACTGCTGTTTATATTTGTGCCACAATCCATATTAATTCTGGCCAGAAGAGGTCACCAATGATCCAAATAATTAAGAGTTTAAGACAGGCATGTCCAAACTCAGGCCCGGGGGCCAATTGCGGCCCTTAGTGTCATTTTATGTGGCCCTTTGCCTTGCTAACCTAAAGTAGTCTTTGAGATCATAAACACAAGTTCATTGTGTCATCCATCCAACTTCAGCTCAGCCATCGTTCTAAAGCCCAGTATTTCTAGAATTCAGTTGTTGACTTGTAAGTAAGTAATGTTTATTTATATAGCGCATTTTACAAACCAAGGTCACCCAAAGCACTTTACAATGTTCAGAGTTCAGATATTGTTCCAATCATTCCACACACGGTGATGACAGAAGCGAGTCGCTGAACACACTGGAGCATCAGCTCCAATCAACACCATCCATTCACGCTCTCATTTACATTCAAACCTATTGTGCATGTTTTTAGTGGTAGGGGAAACCGGAGCACCCAGAGGAAACCAACGCAGACTCCACTCAGAAAGGCCCTGTTCCGGCCAGGATTCGAACCCAGAACCTTCTTGCTGAAAAGCGAGAGTGCTATCCACTCAGCCCCCGTGCCACCCACTTGTGAGCTGGTGAGACCGTAAACATTTGTCATTCAGCCAACTTCAGCTCTGTTATAGATCATTTTAAAGCTCAGAACAGCCCAATGCCAGTCAAGACAGTTTTTCAGTCCATGACGTCGTCCCCTGGACTTGTCTAGTGAACTAAAGTGGCCCTCTTACTAAAATGTTTGGACACCCCTGGTTTAAGAGATCCTTTATTCATCCCACAGCGGAGAAATTTCAGTTTGTGTGCGTAAAAAAACCCCATCAATTTACTCTGAATGATAATTATCTTTTTTGTAATTAATAATTCCAATAAAAATCTCACAATATAATTGTAAGAACTAGTAAGAACCCAAATAAGGAATTCCAATGTTTTATACGTCTTAAAGAAGTGTGTCTTCAGTTAAAAGAATTTATTTTTGTTTTGTTTATGAAATAATAATGATCGGGAGGCTATTTTTATGTACAATAATATTTGGAATAATATGTGGATAATTTGGTCTAGTATTACCATTACATAACTTATTTTTTAACACATTTTATCTAACAGTTTTTTGTGTAAAAGTTTGTTGGCCACAGAACACTTTTACTACTGTTTGAGCCCTGATGATCCAAAGACACACATTAAATTAGATTTGTAGGAGCTGTGTGACATCTAGAGGACGAGTTTAAATCAGCACCCACAGAAGAACCAAACAAAATATGTGTGTCACTGCCATCTTCAGGTTAATTGTTAACTGGTCATGACTAGAATTATATATTCATTTCATTTTATAGGGTTTCTTAAACTAAGAGGTCATTACTCAAGTAAAAAAAAATACTCGTGGTGCTTTAAAGTGCATAAATATGCCTTTAATGTCAAGAGGAGTGAGATGAAGGGGGACTCAAATGCAGGAATGCAAAAAATAATGATTTAATGAAATAAAGGTGAAAACAAACTCAAAATCCAAACAGGAACTCAGGAACCAGGAATACAGACGGACAAAGACAATACAATGGACCAGCAACAAGGGGAGAGAAGGACAGGATACATATAGACACAGAGACACAGGTGAAACACAGCAGGCCGGGGCAGACAATCGAGACAGGGGAAACAGGACAGGAAGTCAAACTAAAATCAAATATCAAAATAAAAACAAAGTACAAAAAAACAAAATCCACACAATGACATTCAACCCATTTCTAATGACTGCTGAATGTTCACACCTCGCCCTAATGATTAAATAGAGCCCACCAGTGTAATAAATACAGATGTTCTGTGAGGTCCTCAGAGCTATTGGTCACTAAACAACATCATGAAGGCCAAGGACAACACCAGAGAGGTCAGGGATAACATTGTGGAGAGGTTTAAAGCATCTTTAAGTTAAACCAAGATTTTCCAAGATGTAAACGACAGACAACAGAGCACAATTAAATACATTATTTGTAAATGGATAGAGTATGGCACCACTGCAAACATACTAAGACTTGGCTGTTCACCTAAACTAACAGATCGAACAAAAAGAGCAATGGTCAGAAAGGCAACCAAGTGCCCCAAGATTATTCTAGTACAGCTGTGAGGTACTGTTGCTGAGCTGATCTGTAAATGAGACAACTATCAGTTGTACTCTACACACATCTGGCCTTTATGGATGAGTGGCATTATTGAAAGAAGGCCACAAGAAGTTGGATGTTTGCCAGAAGTCAAATGGGGGCCACAGCCACCATGTGGAAGAAGGTGCTTTGGTCAAATGAAAAATGAACTTTTTGGCCCAAACGCAAAATGTTATGTACCTAATACTGCTCATCGCACTATCCCCAGTGTCTAATATGTTGGGGGAGCATCACGCTATGGAGCTTCTTTTGTTCAGTGGGGACAGGAAAGATTGTAAGAATAGCTGGGAAGATTGTTATAGGGACATTTTGGAATAAAACCTGCTCGAGTCAGCGAGAGAATTTATCCTGGGGCAAAGATTCACCTTCCAGCAGGACAATGACCCTAAACACAAAGCTAAATCTACAATGGAAAGGTTTCAAACAAAATATATTCATGTGTTAGAATGGCTGTCAAAGTCCAGACCTAGATCCAATAGAATATTTGCGGAAAGGCCTGAAAATGGCTGTTCACAAACACCCCCGTCTAATTTGACAGATCTCGAGTTGTTCTGAAAAGAGGAATGGGCTAAACCTTGATGTGCAAATATTGTAGAGTCGTATCCCAAAATCCTTGTGCTGAGGCAAAAAGGGGTTCCACAAAATATAAACTCATGCTGTATGAATACTTGTGCATGCTCAACTTTTCGGATTACTACTTTTTGAAAAATAACAGCTGCATGTATCATTTTGTTTCGACTTCACAGTTGTCTGTTACTTGTTTGCGAATGTGCAAAAGTTCAAGCTTTCTTACTTTCGCAAGACACTATTCAATCTCAATCAGAAATCCAGTACACCAAGCCTCATCAACCTTTTTTTATTTGGGTTATTAAGCCGAATCCTATCACAAAGCACATTACATTGGTCTCATTTGGGTTGCCAGTTTCTTTGGTGAAATCCAGCTGGTTTGGTCTCTACCTAAACCTGAACAGTTGTAGAATATTCTTATCAGAGCCACTGTCGCATATTGTTCCTTTAATCTTTTATCAGAGAATGAAAGAGAAGCTCGGTTATTTTACATTTGAATAATGTTAACAATTAAAAAATACATATAAAGGGAGGAACCTTTTATTTTTTACAACACATTATGCCATAATGGTGAATAATGGCTTTTATGGGACAGTTCCAACAATCTTTGTGGTGCAATAACACTACATTTCAGCATTTAGACCGGTTGCCACTTTACTGAAAATGTATCATGGACTGTCACTCTGAACCCAAACTGTTTTCCCCAACAAAAATAATGTATAAAAGAAAATTGTTGTGGCAAAATTAGACCATCTTCGTCTTATTAGAAAACATGTCATCCTTTGCATAAAAGAAATAGCCCTATGTGAGTCACTATTTGACGTTTTGGGCTGAGAGCTGATAGGTTGTTCTCTCTTTTTGCTTTTCTGTTGAAAACTGGGATGTGACAGGGGCCAAAAATATATGAAGTGATAGAACCAAAATGTTTTGATTGTATGGATTATACTTAGATTGTTAAAAAGTTTTGTGGTTTCAAAGTTTGGAACCTCCGCTTTAAGCTTTGTAAACACTTCACATTTTCAATATTGGTAAATCTGGCGAGGCTCCACATGCCCCACTTTCCCTGAAATCCAATCTCCTCTATTCTCTTCGGTGCATGGAGGAGATGGGCAGGGCTATACTTTCAGTCAGTGCCACATCTTTAAACGGCTTCATCTGTCGTGCTCATGTGGATGCTACATTTGGGAAGAAAATGCCGGAATATGTTTGAGTTTGGAAGCAAGAATGCCTTTTTCATACTTATTGGAGCGTTTCTGGTTGGTAAGCATTACAATCCTACAGAGGTGTAGACTCTCCTCAAACTTGTGCTCTTAGATTGAGACTTGAGGTTTTTAAACAAGGACCGCTACTATGCTCATGCGATCTAGAATTTTTAAAAACTAATTAAAATCCACATAGTTCTCACATGTATCTATTATTTGCCACATCTCTGTCATATCTTTAGATACATTTGTTTGAGAAAGAAAAGGAGATGTTCCCTCTCACGGGGCCATCTTTAATAACATCTCAAAAGAGAAGGCACCAAAAGATTACATGTTTTTTTGAAAATATGGAGACTGAACGCACATGGCTGAACAAATACTTGTGTAGGACAATAAAAAGTCTTGTATTCTATCTTTTAAGTCATGATGTCATACTTCCATTGCTGTCTATGTCTCAGGTTCCTGGGCAGATTTGGGGTCATTGACTGAAACTACCTTGAGGCCGTCGGATCAGGACACAAACAGCATAGGTTTGGATTGTTAAAAGAAAGTGTGGTGTTTCTTCTCCTGTTCATTTTCTTTGTTATTGTCACATATTTTAGAAAATCATGGAGTTCACACCATCAACCTGACAGCACACCTACACCGCAGCAAAAGGAGCTCCAACAGCACACGTTTAGACATACTGGGTCCATCTCATCTCTCCGCTCTTCAGGACCTTCTTTCAGACCGCAAAAGCACAGGTGGATATAATCTATTCGAGATTTCAAGATTGATTTATCTTTTCTTTTGTTTTTCTATTTGTGGTGAAATATGAGAAATGTCCACTAGATGGCAGCCACACCGAACATTATGTGGGTATGTCTTCAGAGGACGTCCCTTTTTACGACTTTTTACACTGTGTTATCTTTAAACTGTTTTTATTTCTTCTTTGTGGGATCACTAAAGTTTTATCTTATCTTATCTTAACATGTAAACAGGGACACAAGGATACAACTTGATAATGGTAATAAATCACCAAACAATCTATATAGACACATATTTGAGCTCAAAACAAACAATATCAGTAAAAGAACCCACCGCTGACTGGCGCACCCAGAGGAAACTAGAGCAGATCATGTATTTGGAAAGTGGAAAAATTAGGAAATAAATAAACATAAACATATTAAATGGTGTAAAATATCCAGCACAAGAAGCCTTTACAATGTATTGACAGCAACTGAAGAGTTGTGTTAAAGTAAACAGTAAAGAAATAGAACTTTGCACATCAATTGCTGGAGTAGGTGTGTAGGAGAGGGGGAAACCGTGGTGCGCATAGAATAATAATGGTTCCCGCATACTGCTGTAGTTGCAAAAAATATTTTTAAGGGAAAATTCTACGTTTCGGTCCTTCATCCAGACCTTCATCAGACAAATTGCTCATGTTAAAGTAAATCTTCATCAGACAAATTGCTCATGTTAAAGTAAACATTGAAATCAACTTTAAACTTTACCACGGCTGTGAAAGAAGAAATGTCCAAACCCAGCAGATGGTCGTTCAGACAGTCCACAAGATCATCATCAGTATTAAGGAAATGTTAGGTAGGATTTGGAAAAAAAACTGGCTGCCCCTTAAAACATCATGAATAAATCATTCAACAGTGGACAAAAGAGTCTCTGTTTCTGATCCAAAGGAGTCAGTGTTTTGTAGGAAAAAACATCTTAGAATTTGACCATAAAGTTTAGAATAGAAACGTATTGTGGGAATGTTTATTACCATTTTTATTTCTTTTTTGCAGTGCGCCTAGGCCTACGCATTGCAGTCAGAGGTCCCAATGAACTTGTTGAACAACAGCTGCGTCTTCTTTTGAGCAAAGAGGTAGATAGTTGTCACTTTAAACCATATCAATCCAATATACACTTGTTACTTGTAAGTATTAATCTCTAGATACATTACTCAATAAAAAATTAAATCATCCTGTTCGGGTTGCAATGACATGAAATAGTACAGGGCCTAAAACAACAATCTCAGCCCCAAAATCAATATTTACCTTCAGTAAATAGCAAAGGGTAAATGCTGAAGTTCTACCTTGAATATAGACCTGACAAATACAGACAAGGAACAGGCTTTCAGCAGGATTAAGTTGTGACAGTTTTAGAGAGCATGGAAACAATAGTGAAAAGCATTTTGAGGTGACATATGACAACTTAATTAGCTGCAAGTATTTCAAGAGATTGTGCTCACATTTGCTTTCTTTTATTTCCCATGCTCCAGTCAGGACTCTACAATGCCGGGGATAAGGCAGGACTGTTCTCCATGAGGGTCTTGGGGATCAAAAAGGTCTCTTCTTCTTAGCTTGTCACCCAGTCCCATAAGTTTAATGGAGTATTGGAAGATCCTGTTTGTTGTCGGATTAAGAATAAAACACACTCATGCTGTTTATTTTTGTTATTTCTACTTCATAATTCAGTCTGACAAAGCAAAACAAATCTTTGCTAGAGGCCATGTGAAAGGATCCTTCTGAAAACCAGGCAGTGAGGTGTTAGCAGACAAAAGAACTTTACACAATGAATGATAAGATAAGTCAAGATAAGCCTTAATTAATCTCACACAGGAGAAATTTAAAATGGTGGATTAAAACATATCCACAAGTCTTACAGGTGGCATACATCATTAAATAATAGCCAACTATTTGTAGTTATGAAGCATTATTGTGTTTAATCAGAGTTAGCTAAAAGTATAGTAAGTTAAAGTAAAAGAATCCACTTTAGGGAAAAGGCTCTTGATGAAACAGAAAATTAACTTAAGATGAGAAAATAAAAACATAACATAAAAATATAACTACTGTATGTATAGACAAAACAAATTGTTATTCTTGTCCAATTGTATTAGAAAAAATGTAAGCGTGTGCTAGAGTGCGCATGCGCAAAGAGCTGTGGAAAACTTTAAATGTAAAAAACTGGCCGGGAGTGTAACGGTCGTGTTGGACTGTTCATGAATACACGGAGTCTGGTTATTTTATTCTCCAAAGATTCTTCTGCCTCTGCTTCCTACCCAGCTTGCCCGTTACATTGGTGGCAGCGGTGTTGGCTGGACGTTCCTTCGGAATACTCGGGAATTGCAGTTGGCGTTATTTGGTGAACTATGTTTGGAAATTTTCATGGATCTGACGCCGGTGTTATGTCGAGTTGGTCTGCCCGTCGAGATGATCTGGCTCAGCTGTTAATGATGTAATGCAAATCTGCCCATGCGCGTCTCACGGCAGCCGAAGCAATCCAAGATGGCGGACATGTAGTCCGCGAATTGCTTTAAAAGTTAAATACGAACAAGTTAAGACACGAATGTCACTTTTAATGCAATTTGAGGCGAGATGTTGATGGTTCCGCGTTGTGATATGTGTGTTTTAAGAGTAAGAGTTTCGTGTAAAGTTTGTTTTAAGCAGTCCACTGCTCCTGTGAAACTACACTGCTGCTGTGTGATCGCTGTCCCTGAGTTGACTGCTGCATACGTCAGGCTCATGACGCGTCCTGTGACTGGTCTGTCGGGTTGATAATGGAAATAATAAATCAAATTTTATGCATGTATCATACTGTATTCAATATGATTAACAATAGTGTGTTCAAACAAAATATTTAATTCGGGCGTTCTGCTCTCCCAAAATTCCATCCGATGGGCGGGGGAGCGACTGAATTTTGCGTTGCATTATGGGTAACACTTGCCTTCGCAACTTCCGGTTCTCTCTGCCCGGCGCATTTTCTCTAAATGGTTGAGCGTTTTCGTCATTTTCTGTATGCAAATACATTCCCGTCTCTAACTAGTGGCATATCGCGCAAATCATCCGTCCAATTCACATTCTTCCCTCTTAGCTGAACTTCATTCTCATTGTTACCATCTGTCACTCGCACACACAGCCGTTTTCGTTCACTCTGCTCGCTGTCATCTTCTTCTAAATCTTCATAAACACCATCCGCTCGTTGAACTAGCAACAACAATTCCTCCTTTCGTTTTCCCACACTGCAAATACCCTTTCGCTTCAACCTTTCACGCAATTCAGGCACTGTCAATCGTTTGTTGTTTTCGTGAGCCATATTCGCCATTGTATGAAATCAACCGGAAGTGAACTGGGCAACAAACGGTGTCATTTTTTGATCACAGCGCCGCTCAGTGGATGAAATTTTGGGAGAGCAGAACGCCCGAATTAGATCGAGTTTTTTCCCCATTCTGGCGGGTTTGTGCGCATGCGCAAATCAGATTTGGGCACAGCAGCAGTGTAGTTTCACAGGATCAGTGGACTGCTTAAAACAAACTTTACACGAAACTCTTACTCTTAAAACACACATATCACAACGCGGAACCATCAACATCTCGCCTCAAGTTGCATTAAAAGTGACATTTCGTGTCTTTTTGCTTACATTTTTATTCCACAAAACACGGATTACTCCTTTTTACAAACTTCAACACAAGACTTGTGGAATTTACCTAACTTACAGCATGTCGGGAGGACGGGAAAAAAGAACAAAACTTTGCGACGGCTGTTTTTCACTCAAACAGGAGCTAAAACTTCTTCAAGACCGAATGTTTGTGCTTGAATCAGAATTGGGGCTGAACACAACAATACCAGTGAAAGGAAATGGACCAAATGGACAGAACGTAAGTTATGATGACGCTATTTCATTTCCCAAAATCAACAGAGACAATTGTTGGAACACATATGGTGCCAAGCCCAAACAAGGCAAAGCTAATGATAACAAGAGTGTCATAATGCCACAGCAAAAATCTTTAATTACAAGAAACCGCTTTTCACCACTTTTGGAAGATGAATCAGCAGTAGTCTCTCAGTCCCAGTCTCAGTCTCAGTCAAGGTCAAATGCAGCTGAGTCGCTCTTTATCGGGGATTTGGCGATAAGACATGTAAACATGCGTAATCTCAAGGTTCACTCAGTACACTCTGCTAAAGTGGATGAGATAAGGCGGTTGGCTCCGAGGCTTCTGTCTGAGACCGGCGGGGTAAAAAGATTGTTGATCCACGTGGGGGCAGTAGACGTCTATGACAACACAAGTGAAAAGTTGAAACGGGATTACTCTCTCTTATTGGACGACCTTGCTAAAATGGACACAACAATCGTTATCAGTGGCCCACTACCAAATGTGGACGGGAAGCAAATGAAATTCAGTCGTCTGTATCAGCTAAATACTTTCCTACTCAACGAATGTTCACGCAGAGGACTTGCCTTCATTGAGAATTTTAATCTGTTCTGGAATAGGCATGAGCTTTTTGAAGGGAAAGGGCCACATCTGAACACCTACGGAGTAAAAGTGTTGATGGATAATGTTGTATATTTTAATATTTGACCATTTGAACATCATAGCCAGAAAGACCTCTGTGCACTCTAATCAGCTAAATACTTTCCTACTCAACAAATGTTCACGCAGAGGACTTGCCTCATTGAGAATTTTTAAATCTGTTTCTGGAAAAGACATGAGCATTTTGAAGGAAAGGGCCACATCTGAACACTTATGGGGTAAACAGTGTTCTGTATGAAGATATATTATTTTTTTAATTTCTAACCTTTTCTTTTGCCTGAGACCTCCGGCGTGCGCAGCGCGTGCACCATCGAAAGGGAGGAAGCCAACACCAACAAGTCTTCTGCACCTCTCTACCACCTCGAAGGATTCTCACACCACCACCACCACCTTCGAAGGATCTCACACCACCACCACCTCGAAGTATCTCACCCAACCACCACCTCGAAGGATCTCAACACCTCCACCACCTCAGACGGATCTCAACACCATCACCAGGCTCGCACGGATCTCAACACCATCCACCGCCTCAAATGCGATCTCAACACCTTCCACTGTTCATCAGATGCAGCCTCGCATCCTCACCCGCCAGCTAGCTGCATCAGTCCTCGATTCCGCTGCAGTCATCAGCGAGCAGCAGCCCGCCACAGCACGACCACCACCACCAACATCCTCATCCCCAGCACCCTGCCTCCAAAGCAGCCACGGCCTCATTTCATCTTACAGCCGTCCTCTGCAAGCCCCCCATCCTCACCCCAGCACTACAGCAGACAGGCTGCTGCTGGGTGGTTACCCTCGATCCACTTCTTGCCCCTCCTATCCAAGATCTTCTCCTCCCCCCCCCGTCCCTTCTTTCCTTTCCCCCACCCTGGATTTCTCTGACCTTTTTGCTTATTAGCCTCCAAGGACGCCATGTCTTGGGTTCCCCAGCCACGGCCAACTCCATCACGAGGAGAATAGGGCCCGCACACCTCCCCTTTGTTTTTCATCCTCCGCCTTCACTCGTTGAGAGCATTAAACTACCTGAACACATCGTGCAGGGTCCTAATAAAAATCGTCCATGAAGACTATTCCCTCTCACACCCATATTAGCTCGATCTATAGTCCAGTCCAACCATGCTAAACCACTCCCCATATGTACCTCCACAACCACCTAGGGTTTCCATTCACCTTACACAACGCACCCCAGCCAGTCCCTCCTCCTAACCTCATGACTCATTCCACCCTCCACCACATCCCCCTCGTTCAACATCCAAACCCTCCGCCTCAAGCCACCCCCGGCCCTAACCCATCACCTAAAACCCCTCCACCACCCCACAATAAACCACACCAACCCCACCCCACACCCCATCACCCCTCCCAACCCCACCTACCACCCACCACAACAACCAACAAACACACCCCCCCCCACCCCCCTAGCCACCACACCCCCACCCCAACCCAATCATCATCCACAAACACCCCCCAAACAAAATCCCACCCCCCCATTCCCCCCCCACAACATTCCCCCCAATCCCTCTCATCAACAATACCCACACCAACACCCCCACACCACCCCCCTTCTCCTACCCACCCATCCCCCACCCCACCAGACATCACACTCTCTACACCCCCCATACCTACCACCCCCACACCCCCCCCCACCCCTCCCACCCCCACCCCAACCCCACATATCACCCCCCTCTTACCCACCCCCTCCCTCCCCCAACCTTCCACACCTCTCCACAGCTCAAAACCCTCAAATTCCCCCCTACCCCCATCCCCTTCCCCCCCAACACCCCCCTCATTATACCCTGTCCCCATAAAAATCATCCCACCGCCACACCTCCCAAAACCACCCAATTAAATGTTACCAATTCATCCCCTTTATCCAACCCCCAAAAAAACTCTTTCCCCCATAAAAATATATCCCAATCAAACCCACAGACCCACAATCAATCTAAATTCTAAAAAAACAACTATCCCCCCCATACTCCCCTAAAATTCAAACACTTCAAACACCCCTATCTCCCTTAAAAAAAAAAAACACCCAACCCTACCGACAAGAAACCAGGAAGAAACACTCGCTTGTTCCATCGCCAAACATCCCCAAATCCCAACTCCCTCCCACTACCGACCAATAATGATGATTCCTCCGTACCCAACCACTATACAAAAAATCAATGATCAAAACTTATGAGAGACCATCATCCCATCCCACACCATACCCCCAATAGGAGATAGATATACTCTTTTATTTTACTATACTACCAATCTCCACCCTCCCCCCACTCATTTCATCCACATACCCCTACCACATCCAACCTTCCTACCACATCCTAAACCTTCTTTCCACTACCCCATTCAACTTCAACTCAATCTCCCCAAACCCCCCTCCCCAATCCCCCCTAATCAAATACACCCCCATCTCCAATCCACAATATCTATAACCTATATCATAATTACACAATATAACCTAAAACCTCCCCAACTTACCCTACTACCCCCCCCTAATCCCCCCCCCCCTCATACCAACATCTCCACCATACCCCACTCTTCTCCACCACAAACCCCCCCACTTCTCTTCCCAATTGTTCCTCCCCCTCCACCATCTCCCCCACTTTCCGCCACCACAACCACCCATAACACACTGTGTCTCCACACAACATAAACCATAACCATATCACCAAAATATTCACACACCCCCATAAAAAAATCATCTACCATAGACTACCAACCATAATGAACCCAACCTCATACCCCCCCCTCCCACACACATACACATAAAATATAACAACATTACCATATATAAATCCACCCTACCCATCACCACCTATTCCTTACACCTCCAACACCAACCACCCCACCCACCCTTATTCTTTCCATAAAATTTAACATAAACAACCCCCCCAAACAACCAACCACATCACTATCACCAACACCCCCTCCCCCCCCCCTACACCCCCAAACTCAAAACACTAATCACCATAAAAAAAAAAAAAAACAACCCTACCCCACCTAACACCGCCATCCCTATATTCCTCCAACAATCCCCACATTATATGCCTCCCATTCATATTAACCTACCCCCCCATTCACCCCTCCCCCATATCTCCACCCCCCCCCTCCCCACAACCCCCCACTAAACCAAACACCACTCCCCCACCCCCCCCCTCATCCCCCCCAACCCCAACCCAAAACCATCCACCAACCCCCCCCTCACCACCCCCCCACCAACACACCCCCCCCCCCCCCCCACCCCCCCCACACCCCCATACCATCCCCCCCCTAACTTCACCCCCATCAACCCCCCAGTACCCCCATACCCACATCATCCCACACCCCAATCCCCCCACCCACACCCACACACCCTCTTACCCAATTAACCCCTATAAAACCAATACCTTACATCTTCATCTCCATTTATTACCATAAAATACCTTCTCTTTATCCATATCCTTTTATTACCTTACCACCTACACTCACCCCCCCCTCTCCCCACCCCCCCACCGCGTCATCACCCCCCCCCCCCCCCACCACATTCTCACTATTCTCTACAACCTCTCTCTCTTTCAAGTAAAACACTTGCTCCATGGGTGCCTCTTCCCTATAGTCTTGCTAAGGGGCACGTGCTCCCGCGCGCAAGCCACACTCTTGTCACACGCCACGGGCCCGAGGTATACATAGCGTTGCTGCTCATGACATGTGCCCAGTGCTATGTGCTGCCGACACCCGATTAGACCCTTGTGCAGCTGAACTCCCACCCCACTCTAGTACCTGATAAAACATTACCCGTGCTGCACGCCGTGCTCGGTCAATTCACCGCGCATGCCTGTTATGCTGCACACACTGCTTGCTCCCATGTCTGTGCGCGCGCTTCCCATAGTCCTATTATATTGGTCGCGCTAGGAGTCAACCGCGAGCACCAATTGTGACCGGTCCAGCGCGCGAGACACGCCCGCCGCACTCGCGCTCGGCGCCCGCCACATAGTGAACACGATTCATCGTTAGAGAGCATTCTGCTCGTGGCTATCACATGAGTGGAGTCCCCGGACTCGCAATGTCCCATACTAGAATCACGGTGTCTCACGTGGCGTGTTTTATGAAACGCCTTCTGCCGAACCAAGTCGAGGGATATAATCACTCCTTATCCCGCCGAGCCCACCTGGTATATCTATGTGACGAACCTCAACCTCCCAGATTGAAAATCGGCCATGTCTCGAGGTTGCTCCACTATAGAATAATATCCAGAAGTATAAGATACGAGACAGAGATCTGGCGATAGCGTAGGATCTCCATGGGAGTGCAGCTCGGATGTGCCTCCTAATATTGCCACCAATGGTGGAGATCTCTCTCACAGCTATCTTACACCGCAGAAGCGCACGGCTTAGTAGCTAGAACACCCTTCCCTGCTCAGGTCGCGCACACTTCTAGGCGATATTACCACGCACATACAGGCGCTGTCATTAGAGATCAACATTCTGCACTCCCACCCGAGCTGATACCGGGTCCCATCATACACATCTACACACGATCCATCCCCAGGTGACCCTCATCCCCAGCTATATATCTATGCTCCACAAGTCATCGGAACAGCCATGTATATCCAAGATCCTACGATATACTCATATGTCGATAATCAGCCCAGCTCATACGTGAGTGTTCACTGTTGTCCGTAGACACCCACCTCTGTCAACATATCTGAGGCCACACCCGTTCTAGCCCTTCACTGATACAAGATCCACAAACAACACTCCCCCCACCCATATATGCACACGCGGCGCATCCTCTTCCTATCGTGCCACATGTGCTCTCCACGCTATCTGGTCTGTTCCGAAGTTACCACAGCACCCATGCAGCACCCTCTCGCGATGTAGTAGTTTTCTAACCCTAACCCTACGACTGTGGTGTTGTCGACCCTGCTACAATCATTAACCAACATTTTTTCCTTTTTATATTTAAACTTGAAGTAACTTGTTATTCTTTCCTTTGTGTTACCGTTGCAGCCATCCCGTCCAGAAACTCCTTCACGCAGCAGATGAGGAGGAACGCCCTGAAGAACCGTCAGCTGGGAAAGGGATGGAAGCACCGGCGATCTCCTAAACGACTCTTGAACAAACCGTCCGGACTCAAGCGCAGCGCTCTGCCGCTGTTATCCGAAGTGACGCTACGAGAGCTGAAGGTCCGGGTCCGACGTCACACTGTGGACTTCCTGCTGAGCTGCAAGGACCCCAAAAGCAAAGAACGGGCCTTGCTTCTGCAACTCGAGGAGATCACGTCCAAACGAAAGCCACAGAAGAAGCAAACTCGTGCGTCTGAGGTGCATCTGAAGCCGTTCGGTCTGAGCTCCTCCGTCATTCAAAGGAAGAGCGGGAGGCAGTTTCCAAACACGGGCATTAAGAATAAGTGTATAAAAGTGGCAGACAGACGCGCTATTCATCTAAGAACTTCTTCAAGGACAAAAAGCAAAGACAGAAAGGTTGTTTCAGACAAAGGCAAGGCTCATGAGCAAGAAAACAGCAGCTGCAACGCAACCAAACCCAAGGAGAGAGTGAAGCAACCGCTGGAAGGAGTCAAGAAGGAAAGTGGTGTAGAGGAGTCGTCGACAAATATTGAAACTACTTTTAAAGCTGCTCCTCTAGCCAAACCTCCTCCTCCTAAATCTACTTCTAAACCAGTGGCTCCACCCAAACCTGCACCTCCTCTTAAATCTACTTATATTTCAGTCACTCCATCAAAACCTACCACTACTGCTAAATCCATAGCAGATCCCAAACCTGCGCCTCCTCCCAAACCTACTTCTAAATCGGTTGCACCGCTCAAAACTGCCCCAACTTCTAAATCGCTCCCTTCAACCGAACCTGCGCCTCCTAAATCTTCGTCAAAATCGATAGCGGAGCTCAAACCTACGCCTCCTCCTAAATCTTCTTCTAAATCGGCTGCTCCTCCGAAACCTACCCCTACTTCTAAATCGGCTGCTCCTCCAAAACCTACCCCTACTTCTAAATCGGCTGCTCCTCCAAAATCTACCCCTACTTCTAAATCGGCTGCTCCTCCAAAATCTACCCCTACTTCTAAATCGGCTGCTCCTCCAAAATCTACCCCTACTTCTAAATCGGCTGCTCCTCCGAAACCTACCCCTACTTCTAAATCGGCTGCTCCTCTGAAATCTACCCCTACTTCTAAATCGGCTGCTCCTCCGAAATCTACCCCTACTTCTAAATCGGCTGCTCCTCCAAAATCTACCCCTACTTCTAAATCGGCTGCTCCTCCAAAATCTACCCCTACTTCTAAATCGGCTGCCCCTCTGAAACCTACTCCTCCTTCTAAATTGATGGCTGAACCAACGCATCCCCCTAAGCCTACTTCTAAATCGGTCACTCCTCCCGAACTAACCCCTGTTTCTAAATCCATTGCTCAACCCATATCTACTGCTTCTAAATTGGTCACTTCGTCCAAACCAATGCCTGTACTTAAACCGGTCGCTCCGTTAAAATCGACTGCTCAAAAGGAAGTTGAAAAGGGTGTGAAAAAGACCGTGGACAATCCGCAGCCTTCACTCAAGCAATATCTCACAATAAGCCTCAGGAGAGTAACGATGCCGCAGGACAGGGCGGAGCAGAGGAAGCAAGCTTGTCGGCGAATGATGGGTCCAAAAAGCGTGCAATTGTTAAGAGAGCAAAAAAGACAGTTTGAAATGTTGCAAAAACAGAAAGCAGCCGTTTCTGGAAATGCAGAGGGAAGAACAGGGATTAAAGAAATGCTGTTTAAAGCTGGTGAGAAAGTTGGCTTTGAAGATACAAAATTAAAAGATGTTGAGAAGCTTAACTCGGAAACGAAAGCTGTTAGCAAGGTTCAAGATTCAAAAAGTAAAGCTGATGAGAAGTTGCTGGATGAAAAAACTGATAAGGATTTGCCTTCAGATTATGGTATCGACACGGTCCCAAAAGAAAAACCAGGAAAACGGACACAAAGACAAAAACCAGTAGATGCTAGAGTAGAACCCGAAGGCCGCACAGGGGTTAAAGAAATGCTTTTTAAGGCTGGCGATAAAGTGAGTGTCCAAGAAGTAATCAATCTGGACGTGGCTTTGACTCCCCGGAAGTGCACAAAAACTGTGCAATACGTGCAAACACAAAAGCGGACGCTGAGACAACCAAAACCAGCAGTGGCCAGTGTAGGAGCGACTAAAGTAACGGGAGGGAAAGAAACGCCAAGTCCAGCTGCTGCGAAGCCCACAGTGCAAGAGAAAGTTACAGATAATGGTTTGACTTCCAGGGAAAGTTTGAGAAATGCACAAAATCCAGGGAAGAGGTCTCTGAGGCCAAAGCCGGCGAGTGCCAGTGTAGATGCGGCAAAAGAGGCTGAAGCCGTCAAAGACAATGGTGTGAAAGAGGATAAGGTTACTGTGCAAGATTCAAGTAATATTGTTGATCCAAATGGCAGAAAAGCGGCGCAAAGTTCACCAGCTCAAAAACCAGAGAAACGAACATTGAGGTGTTCGCAGAAGCAGGTAGGTGTCAGTGTAGAATCAGCTGCAGCAAAAGGGGGCACAGATGTTAAAGAGATTATATCTAAGCCTGACGATAAGGCCAGTGTGCAGGAGGAGAGTCGTAAAGTTGATGATTCTAATTGCAGGGAAGTTGCCTCGAAAGAAAACGTTATTAAGAAACAGGCAGAGAAGTCAGTGGAGGAAAAGCAAGACCAGCCAAAAGAAGTAAGTCCAGTTGAAGCAAAACCAGTTGAAACTAGTTCAACCCCAAGTTTTCCGAGAGTTCAAAAAGCAAAGCGCTCTAGTGGAAGAATCACAGCCTCCAAAGACGCAGCTCGTGTGATCAACGATCTAGACGAGGGCGTTGTCATAAAACAAGCAAAAGTTCTTCTTTCTGACATTTTAAAATCTGACAAAGCAGCACTTGAAGCTTTGCAGGAAGATTTAGTGGTGGTCACACAAGCTATACTTGCAAATGACGAACCAAAACAACCGGGTATGAAGCGGAGAAAGGTTAGGTCAAGAGCGGCGCGGTTGCGAGCTGAAGCTAATCTGAGAGCGAGAAGACGCAACGCTAAATCGGTCGAGTCCAACGCCGAATTGATCGAGGGAAATTCGCAGCTTGAAACTGATAAACAGCCAACAAAATACGTCAACAGCCTACCTCACAAAACTGTTTCGATAAAGGCCAATTTACAGTCGCACATACAGTCAAACATACCTCTGAAAAAGCGTACATTTCACAGCGCCGTAGACGAGGTGGAACTAGAAACGGGGGCAGCAGAAGTTGTCAAAGGATTGATGGATTGTAAGGCATCGGGGGTGAAAGTAACTGCCAAATTGGGTTCAAAAGATGCTAAATTAAGGGGGAAATTACTGAAATGTAAAAAGAAATTGGTCAAAAAGAGAAAATCTGGTGTGAGAGTCCTTAGGCCAAGATCCAATCAGCCACCACAGAGTCCGGTATTGGCGTCCAGAGAAAGGAAGTGTAAATTGGGGAAAAAGATGTATGTTGTTGATGGAGACGATGATGTTGTTTACGGCCCACAAGATGATAACAATGACAATAGTGATATTAGGCTCCTGAGAAAAGTAAAATCTGAGACGGAATATATTCCTCTTGATCAGGGCGAATTTGACGAGACAATGCCAGGAGCCAATTTTAAGATCCGCTTTAAAAGACGGAGGGGTAAACTTTGGGAGATGGAAAATTCTGGATTTGATGATAGAGTGTTTAAAAAAGAAAAACGAGACGAGGCTGCGGATTGTGACCCTTTCAAAGCCATTATGGATTCTGTGACAATTTTGAATATGGAGATGGAAGCAGCGAGGGCCCACGTGCAGGCCAGCTTAAAATCAAAGAACAGATTGCATCGGCTGAAAAAAAGAAGTGAGAAAAGCACTGCCAATCTCCCAGCTGATGCAAACTCTGACAATAAGAACGAAGCAGGGGAGGCTAAGAAAGAGGTGCTTGAAACTAATGTTAAGCAGTGCCCAGAGAAGGCTGAAGTTACTGTGGTGAAAGAGCCAAAAATTGAAGATCGGTTCTCCCAGCCCTGTTGTATGTTTGAGAAAAAACTAGAACCTAAAGATGAAAATGGTCACGCTTTACCTGTGCTCAAACTGCGGAGGCGGACAGAAGACATATGGGTGGTTGACGATGACGAAGATAAAGAAATAGAGAAAGTCATTGGATTAAATCTGAAATCTGAAACTAAAATAGAACCACCAATTCATGTAGAACCAAAACCGGCTGCTGCTCCTGCTGCTCCTGCTGCTCCCACTGTCGTCAAACAGAAAAGAAGTTTGTTGGATAGTCTCAAGAAAGACGACACTCAAAGTAAAATAAATGCACTTTTAAAGACCGAACCAACATCCTCGCTGGCTCTCTCGCTAGCTCCCCTCACCTCTTCCCGTCCTCCAACTGAGAATATCAAAATCCCAGAGAGGCCAGAGGTGGGCAGCGCTGGAAGAAAGCAACGGCACAAAATGGAGAGACCTCGCAAGTGTGGGCCCGTGCCTGACCCTCCTCCCACCGTGGCCAGCCAAGCCAACACTTGTCTTAGTCACACACTCCAGCAAATCGACAACAGTCTCTCCCGGCTGTCGGAAGGCCTGTGCTCGTCACAGACTTTGGAGAAAATAATTCCACAGCCGCAGCCGCCCTGCACGAGCGCTCCCAGTTCTGTCATCCAACCTCCGTCGCAGTTTCCGCCGTTCACAACAGCAGACAACATGCTCTCAGGCGAACCAAACTTCACCAACTGTTGTGATGATATACTGGATTTTCAATGTCTCAATTTTGAAGGTTACTACCAACCCCAAAACATCCTCCCGTCGTCTCCATCGGATCTTTGTTCGTTGGATCCCCCCACCGATCCGTTTAGCAGCCCGCTCTCCCATAGCCCCACAGAGGCGTGGAATACCGAGACGCCATATTTGGGACCGCCGAGCCCAAGTAATAACTTTGCTGGTGAAGATTTACAGTTTTTCCCCGGTCTCATTCCAACTTCCAAAAACGAATCGGTCCCAATGGTTTGTGAGTCAAAAGAGCATCCTAAAGATAAACTTCCAATAAATGCTCCAATAAATGCTCCAGTGAATGCTCCAATTAATACTGGGTTTAATTATCCAGCAGCTAACCCAACTGATTTGATTGTAAAAGAGAGAATCATCACTAAAACTCCTGTCGTGCGAACGCTCTCAAAAGAAGAGCCAAAATCGCAGCCGTATTCGGTTGTAAACAAACCGCGCCTACTACCGCCCTCGTCCAATTCCCTTTCATCACACAGTCCTGTAAATTTGTCACAATCTGCTTTGAACCTCAAGCCTATCACGACTCAATCCAAACTGCATGCAAGTAGTGTCAGCAGTAGCAGTAGCAGCAGCAGCACTGGCAGCAGTAGTAATAGCAGCAGCAGCAGTCTGAAAAATCAAGGAACTTTCCATCGCCCAAGTATTCCCAGCAAGAGTTCTCAATCTTATCCATCCAGTCATGTATCGACGGTCAAAGAGCAAACCACTATACCCAGAATCCAGAATTCACCCATTGCCAACAAGCTGCTCTCGCCTCAGTTGTTTAGCTTGAAAAACAACAACCCCCCTTCAGACAATATTTTTAACATCCATGAAAAGACCTCTTCCGTGATTCAAAGGGTGCTAAAGTTCCAAGGGGGCAACACTGCGCACGACTTGTACAGCAGCGCTCAGCCGAGAGAGACGCCCTCTTCCAGCTCTAAAGTCCACTTAAAGTCAAACACTATGGACAAAAGCCAGCAACATAAAGTTTCTACGAGCAGCCATCATAAAACGAGCATGTCCCAAGTGTACGCGAACTCCAAAGACCTGTCTTCTCATAGCTCTTCCAGTCGCTCCAGCTCCCAGTTTGCCAAACCCAGCACCTCCCTCCCATTGCCCAAAATGAAACTCCCAACAGAAAAACAAGACAGCTTCGAGGCTAACTTGTACAAAAACTTCTCCGCGTTACCAAGACCCTTTTTCTTCCCAAGCAAAATGACAGAAAGCTACATGATGAATCAACAAGAGAAAGCGATGAAGCAGGAAAAGTCTGGCTTGGCAGGTTTGTCAGGTATGGATAAGCACCAGCTTGGATTCGCTCAACAAGACCCCTTCGATTTCAGCTTTGGTACAACCTTACCGTCGCCAATGCCACAACACAGCAGCCCGCAAATTATTCAGAGCACTCCCCCTGGAACTCCGGTCTCTACAAGCAAAGGCCAGCCAGCGCTGTCGTTCCCGTACGGATACCAAGCTCTGCCCAACATCCTGAGCTTCACAGGAGACCATTCGCTGACTTTAGGTCTCCGAGATGGACCTGAAGGTTACCCAGGACTTAGTGGTGCGAACTACACCTACCACTGTCTCATGGAGCCTTCAGGAACCCAAGGGCGGCTGGTTCTGGAGCCGTGTGGGCCGCAGCTCACCAACCCGGCCTCCTTCTCGTTGGGAGGGTTCGCCGGACTCAAGTCGCAGGAGGATCATTGCAGGAAGGACTTGCAGCAGCAGTGTCAACCCAACGAGCAGCAGCAAGCTCACGCCTCGCACTACGGGGCAGTCCCAGGGTCGCACTCCATGGGCTCCAACAAACCCAAACGAGTCCGGCTAGTTGTTACCGATGGCACCGTCGACCTGGACCTACAGTATTCAGACTAATATATATGACTTTTGTTTGTAACGTGGCAGTACTGACATTTGAGGACTGCACTGTTATGACACACTATTGTTCTCATCCCACTGTCCAAAGACGTGCACATTTCAATAAGAATGGAGACGGTCATAAGTCTTTGACCACTCACCAGGCATGCTGTGGTTCAACTCAAAATAATGAAAAGCTAATGTTGTAGTTATGGAAACTTGATTAACTCCCTTTTGTATAGTGTACAAAAATATGAATCTTTTCACTAATGTGGAACAGTTTATACATGTATGAAGTTACTCTCTGAAAACGGTTGAAAGGTCCTCACTGTCGTACTGTAAATACCTGTACATGCATTACTTTTGTTTTTCTATACAATGTATGGAAGTAGAGACTTTGCGTAGGTTTAAAAAGGCAGTTTTTGTGCCTACGTCTTTGATAAACGTTCTTGTGACTTTTCAAGGCAACTATTTATCAGTAACTGTTCCGTTTTTTGTAACTGGTCGCGAGAAAGCTAGAACATGGGAGAGTCTAAAAGTGACAGTACAGTTTTTTTGTTTATGGTGCACAAAAAGGGGAACTGTCCAAGGTACTATTACGTATTTTTAAAAATAAAAGTATAATACTATTTTGTATTAATCTATTTCAACATGACAAATATTCGCTTTTAAAATGATATAAAAACATGTTATTTCTATGTTTTATCCCACTGAATTTCCCAAAACAGAACAAAAAAACTAAACTATATTAATATATGCTACTAAAGACTTTTTCTTTGAACGTCGACCTGATGTATTAAATCCTAATCCATAAATCTAGAGTAATGTCCGGGGTTAGGGTTGAAACTGTACTGCTGTCGTGCTCACCTGGTTTGGTTGTTTATGGTTCTAAATGTGGAGAAAAGGCTGCATGTATAAGTTAATGTAAAAAGTACATAGTTCTATAAACGTTGGACTTGTGGGCGTGGTTTTCGACATGAGACACGTGTCATTTCAACGGGACAATCGCAGACTGACTTTGTTCAATGTTCATTTGTACATTTACGGCACAGCTTTGTTCATACCATGGACTGAATATTTAAGTTTTCACCACCTGCAAAGTTACATATTTTGGTGTTGTTGGAGTTCTATTGTTTATATTGTATCTAAAGTTATATGTGAGTATTTGTGAGTTTTTGCAGAAGAAAAAAAAAGCCTCGCTTCCCACATGAACTTGTACGGTCTTAAAATTATTTATTTGAATAATAATGTCATTTTCAAATGGTGCTTTTATTGTAATTTATATTTCACATTGATTGTGCATATATGACATTGTTTTTGTATTTAATCGAATAGAAACTAAACTGCAGATTTGACGTACATATATTTAAGTTGGTCTACAACTGTTCTATGTTTTTAAAAGCAAAATGTGTTATAAATTGGCAGTTATTGAGAATATGCTGTAGAAATGTACAATTGTAGTCTATATCATTAAAGACATTTAATTCTTTTGGTAATTTTTCTTGTCTTCAATAACGAACAGAGTTTCACAGAACTTTAGAGTAAAACTATTAATCCTTCAATCACGGATTATTGTCACAACCGTTCAGATATTGTCATGAATACTTTGGTCTATTAGGAGACCTATATATCCAATACATACTATGCATCCGTCCATTTTCTTCCCCTTAATCCATGTCTGGGTCAGGTTTGGCAGTCACTGATCCTCCTGCAGGTGAGTCAGGGAACACGGCCTTGTTCTTTCAGTGGGGGCTTCAGGCAAAGTGGGGCTAAAGAAGCTATACCCAATTTATTTTATGAGTTCATAAAAATGTGTATCGCTACAAACAAGTTGTATTATAATCCATAATTGAATGTAAAACTTGAGCTCATTGATTCAGCTGTGTATGAATTCAGGCCGTAAAAAGTGCTGAGTAGACCCAAGCACCGGCGATCCAAGAATGAATGGTTGTGCTTGTCACTCCCGGATTCGTCCTGGAAACCGGATTCGTCCGGAAGTTCAGTTTGCGCATGTCAAAAAGTTTAATATGTCCTTAAGTGGTGACTGGTTAAGTTTAGGCGTTTGATTAAGATGGTTAAGTTTAGGGTTAAGGCTGGGTTGGGGTTATTTTATGGGAATGGCTGGTTAAGTTTAGGCATGAATAGGTAGTTTTTTATATTTACTTCCGCTTCCGTCCAGATTCCGTGACGTAATCTACTGCTGCGTATGCTCATTGGATCAAACTGAACTTCCGGACGAATCCGGTTTCCGGGACGAATACGGGAGTGACAGTGCTCAGTGGCGCTTTGTGACGGCATGGGGGCTGAAAGATTAGCGGAAGTCGCCTGGAACTCGCAAAGATCTATGGGAACCTCTCAAAGATCTATGGGAAACTCTCAAAGATCTATGGGAAACTCTCAAAGATCTATGGGAAACTCTCAAAGATCTATGGGAAACTCTCAAAGATCTATGGGAAACTCTCAAAGATCTATGGGAAACTCTCAAAGGTCTATGGGAAACTCTCAAAGGTCTATGGGAAACTCTCAAAGATCTATGGGAAACTCTCAAAGATCTATGGGAAACTCTCAAAGATCTATGGGAAACTCTCAAAGATCTATGGGAAACTCTCAAAGGTCTATGGGAAACTCTCAAAGGTCTATGGGAAACTCTCAAAGGTCTATGGGAAACTCTCAAAGATCTATGGGAAACTCTCAAAGATCTATGGGAAACTCTCAAAGATCTATGGGAAACTCTCAAAGGTCTATGGGAAACTCTCAAAGGTCTATGGGAAACTCTCAAAGGTCTATGGGAAACTCTCAAAGATCTATGGGAAACTCTCAAAGGTCTATGGGAAACTCTCAAAGATCTATGGGAAACTCTCAAAGATCTATGGGAAACTCTCAAAGATCTTTGGGAAACTCTCCTGTATTTGGGCATCGTCTGGTCCTCCCGTTTCTGAGCAGTGGATAATCTCCCATAATGCATTGCGTCAAACACGCGTGTGTGGGTCTCACACCGGGTCTCACGCACGTGCACAGAGGGTCTCACACGTGCACAGAGGGGCTCGGCCGCGCTCTGACCAATCGTAGCAGTTCATCAGAGCGGGAGTTAGAGCCAGAGCCAGACGAGCAGAGTTTGTGGCACTAAAGTGTGGATTTAAACAAAACCGAAGGATTTAAGAAGAAAAAAAGTTCAGGATGACAAGGGACACTAATGTAAGCGTGTGCTAGAGTGCGCATGCGTAAAGAGCTGGGGAGATGTTTGAAACGGGCCGGGAGAGCAACGGTCGTGTTGGGCTGTTCATGAATAAACGGAGTCTGGTTATTTTATTCTCCAAAGATACTTCTGCCTCTGCTTCCTACCCAGCTTGCCCGTTACATTGGTGGCAGCGGTGTTGGCTGGACGTTCCTTCGGAATACTCGGGAATTGCAGTTGGCGTTATTTGGTGAACTATGTTTGGAAATTTTCATGGATCTGACGCCGGTATGGCTGAGGATGAATGCAAGTACGTACCTCCTTGGACCCAGGGGGTGTGCAATATCAGAGTGGACCTGCCTGCAGCGTTTTGTGGAGATGGACGTAAACTTTTCGCTACCTGGATAAAACAGTTCGAAGCGGCGGTCCGCGCTCAGACCCGGGGTGATGGGAGAAGCTATGCCGCGTCCTTAACCGCTCTGCTGCCCACCCGGCTGGATGGTGCGGCGTTTTTGTTGTGGGACAGCCTGCCCTCGTCTGTGCAGTGTGATTTTGAACGGGTGAAGGAAAAACTCAATGAGGCTTTTGGACAGAAACAGTTTTTGCTGTATTTTCAGACGTGCGTCTCGGCTCGTCCCCGTGGGGCGAGCGAGAGCCTGGAGCTGTACGCTGCAGACCTTTCCCGGCTCGTTGCTGAAGCTTTCCCGGAGTATGACAAAATGGCACAGAATGGTGAGAAGTTCCGTCGCTTTCTGGCTGGACTTGACCCTGGGCTGCGGGCCAAATGCCACGAACAGGGCGCAACTGACTTGGAGGAAGCACTGATGATAGCGGGTCGATGCGAGCGCGCTAGAATGGCCCTGGGTGTGGGTCTACAGAGCGGACCCGGCTCCCATCCTGCACCAGCCACGGTGGCCTCTCTCTCCGCGGCTGAGGGGACAGCGCTGGGCACTTCCGGAGTGACGGGAAAGCTTCTCGGTGCTGTGGAGCGGCTTACAGACAGGATGGACAAACTACAGATGGAGGTGGTCAATTTGAGAGCACAACGGAGTGACCACACACCTCGCACTAGTCAAGGTTTTCCGTGTGCCTGCGAGTGTGGCGGATTTGGCTGCAGATCCTCTGCTCGTGAGCATCGCGTGGAGTGCAATGGTCGTGCACCGCGATACGGATCCAGGAATAACCGGGAGTGGTCCCCACAGGCGCAGGAGGATCGGGGCGCGGCGCCTGATTACCCTCACCGCCGTGAAGAGGACGAGACTCCCCGGAGAGGACGTTTCTCCGTGGAGCCAGAGTGGAGACGCGGTGTGAGATTTCTGTCACCCGCTCGGCGTTCACCTTCTCGGCGTTCCCCTTCTCCTTCTCCAATCAGACGGAACCAGGGAAACGACCAGTAACTGGAGGTGAGGCCCGACCGCCAGTTTCGCAATCTCAGGGTCGCGGTGGACCTTCCACGGCGGAGATTGAAGCTTCCTCTATGGACTGCTGTGCTGTGGGTGAGTCCAAGTGTACATCATATATCAGGGGATCCATTGAGGGAGTGGATGTTCCTATACTCATTGACTCTGGTTCTAACGTGTCGTTAATCACAGAAGAATTTAAAATGTCAGTCCCTGCCTTGCGTAGACGTGTATTGAGTAAGGATTACATCTTTGCTCATGCTGTCAACGGACAATTATTGGACGCACTTGGCACGATGACTGTTCCCATGTATTTGGGGGGAATGTATGTGGAGCAGATGGTGCATGTTGTAAGAGGGGCGACACAACGAGTTTTGCTGGGTTTTGATTTTTTATCAGAGTTTCATGCTGTTCTTGACGTGGGACATAGTGTATTGCACCTGGGGGGAGTGGTTATACCATTGTTACATGCTAATGACCTTATTCCAAGATGCTGTAATATCACTATGTCCACAGATGTCATCATTCCTCCTTACTGTGAAATGGTTGTCCCTGTGCAGGTGGAGGCTCCGCGCTCCATGGAACCGCACACTGATTTCTATATCGGGTATGTGGAACCTGAGACTCGGGATTCAATGGGGTTGGTGGTTGCACGTACAGTGGCTCCGGTTAAGGATGGACTCACTGTTGCGCGGTTACTTAACCCCACTGACCATGAGTTGAGGATGCATTCCGGTTCGCATTTGGGGGTCCTTCATCATGTCGATAACAGTGACGTTTTTGAGCCAACGGACGGTGTTGACCCTGACGCTAAGCCAGTGACTCTACCGGACTTAGGGGACTGTTACCTCACAGATGATCAAAGGCAGGAACTCAGTGAATTGTTAGAGAGACACTGTAATGTTTTCCGTACTGGGGGTGGATTCACTAAGGCTACGGGTGTGATAAAACACCACATTAACACAAACGGTAGCCTCCCCGTTCGTAAGAGGGCTTACAGGACGTCCCCTGACAAACGGAGGGAGATCGACAGGCAGGTGCAGCGACTCCTGGCAGATGGGGTCATTGAGGAAAGTTGTAGCCCGTGGTCCTCTCCTGTGGTGCTTGTGAGGAAGAAGGACAACACATGGAGGTTTTGTGTGGACTACAGGGGTCTGAATGCGGTCACGGTGAGAGATGCACACCCATTGCCTCGGGTAGGTGACACATTAGATGCCTTGGCAGGGGCTACATGGTTCAGCACACTGGACTTTTCAGATGGATACTGGCAGGTGGAAGTAGCTGAGGAAGACCGTGAGAAAACAGCCTTTAACACCGGCCATGGTCTGTATCAGTTTCGGTCTATGCCCATGGGTCTCACTAATGCTCCGGCTACCTTCCAGAGATTCATGGAGCTGGTCTTGAAGGGGCTTCCCTGGCATATTTGTATGATTTATCTGGATGACATTCTGATTTTTAGCAGGTCGTTCAGTGAGCACGTGGCAGCCTTGGAGCAGATTCTTTCAAGGATTGGTGCGGCTGGCCTGCGGTTGAAGGCTAAGAAATGTCAAATGGCTCGTGACCATGTGGCGTTCCTGGGGCATGTTGTCTCGGCTGAGGGGCTGCGGCCCGACCCAAGGAACACATGTAAGGTGAGAGACTGGCCTATTCCTCGTTCTGCCACTGAAGTTCGTGCCTTCCTTGGTCTCTGCTCGTATTATAGGAGGTTTGTGAGAGGTTTTGCACAACATGCCTCCCCTCTCATCCATCTCACGGGAAAAAACGTACCATTTACCTGGTCAGAGGAATGCCAGGAGTCATTTGAGTTTCTGAGAGACGCTCTTTGTGCTGAGCCGGTAATGTGCCATCCTGACTTTACACAACCTTTTGTGTTGTATACTGATGCGTCCCAAGTTGCTGTGTCGGATCGGTGCTTACGCAATCTGTTGAAGGACTGGAACGGGTTGTCGCTTATGCCAGTCATGCCCTTACGGTGGCAGAGCGGAAGTGGTCGACATACGATAGAGAGCTTTGGGCCATTGTGTGGTCCATCCGGAACTTTAGGCACTATTTAGGTCTTCGACATTTTACCATTGTGACTGATCACAAGCCACTGCTTGGTCTTAGGCAGCTTCCCGTTGACAATGATAGGACGGGTCGACGCTGTCGCTGGGGCCTGGAATTGGATCCGTATGACTGGATTATTGTCCATAAGAGTGGGGTCCAGCATACTAATGCCGACGCGTTGTCTCGCTGTCCTGTGTCCCAGATTTTCATGGTGAGCTCTGAGACGCAGACTATGGATATGTCAACTTCGGTGGCTGTATGTGGGGTCGAAGCTTCTACGGAGGCTCCCCTAAGTGCTCAGGCATCGGATTCTTGTGAGCCCTCAGTACCCCCTGACGGGAGTGACCTACAAACCCTCTTTCAGGAAGGCTCCAACGTAAGGCGTCTGCAGCAAGAGGACCCAGATATTCGATCTCTGTTGGAGTGGCTTAGAGCGGGTGAGAGGCCGTCCTCAGTGAGGATTAAAGGGGCTGGTAAGGCTCTCCGTATTTTGTGGCACGAGTTTCCTCGCATGACCATGATTGACGGAATTGTGCACAGGGTTGTTGCCCTGTCTGATGTGGAACAGACATGTGTTGTATTTATAAATACGTGACATTCTAAAACCATGTGTTTTATGACCTAGCTAACCTCTAAGTGGGAGGCCAGTCCTTCTTATTTTATTTTAGGTGTCTTCTTGTGCCAGCAACTGGACAACAGATTCTCCTGTTTGGATTTCACCCCCCTAGTCTTGGCCTGCTGACTTCTGCACTTTTCAACCTCACTCCATCAGGAGTCTGGCAGACGGAGGAAAAGGCTGGACCCTAGACCGGAAGCTGGCTGATAGGACACTCCCCTCCTTCCTGTTCTTTATATGCTCTGGCTTGGGGAGAAACAGAAGGATCAGCCGAGGGCCAGAGAGGGACATATTAGTTTTAGGAGCACTCTTTTGTTGAATATCTTGTATCTGATTGTAAAGATAATTAAATGCAGATGTTAACCTTTGAGAATCTTTTTGTCTGATTTCTGTATCAAATTGTGGACACGTCAGCCAAAGGGAATTATTGGCTTCATTTGGTGACCCCGACGTGATTTGGTACAGAAAGAAGACGCAAGATGAGCTCAGATATAGACTGGGTCCGTCGGCCGGGAGAATTCTCTCTTCTCTTCTCTCTTCTCTTCGAAAGAGGTAAGCGGATCGTTACTTTTGAAAATCTGCACATTGTTTTAAATGGAAGAGAGAGAGAATTCGGCTCGGCGGACTGCAGCGTGGCCAGACGACCGCCGTGACGGGCGATTCTATCGGACGCGATAGAACAATAGTCAGGTTTAGACGTTTTTGGCCTTGGGGGAAGCATGGGTCCCTCCAAAAAAAACAGAACATAGATGATGGATCAGAGCCACAGAGTTTATAAGTGCAGAAGAGGCACACCGTTTAGAGTGCAAAAGAGGCACAAGAGTTTAGAGAAATAGGATTAGAAAATAGGGACAGTTAGGGTCAGAAGTTATAGGATAATAAAAACTCCATATCCCCCGGGGGGCGGGGAAAAAAAAAAAGGGTACAATTAATTTAAACAGGAAAAAAGCCAAGTATTTAAAATGTGGATTCTGATAATAATGATCTGATTAATGAGAAAAAAGGGAGCCACTTGGCTGTAACTATGTGTTTTCATGTGAAGAAATGACAAAAGATCAGTCTGGGAGTTTTTCTCTTGTATTGTGATGTAATGTTTCAATAGTTACAGAGGTATTACGGAAAAAAAAAAAAAGATCCGTCTGTACCTAGTGATGCATTGGTCATGTAAGCAAATTGTAATGTTTTCCATTACTGACGTATTTAAGGATAAAATGTAAAGTGTCGTTTGACGTGAGAAAAAACTTTTACCACTGATTAAGACCATATCACGATAAAAACGAGGAAAATGTAGCAAAGAAGGGGTGTATTTCAATCATCCATGTGTTCCTTTGTTCGAGAAGCCCCTCCCCTCCCTCGTTCTGTCTTCTCTCTCTCTCTCTCTCTCTCTCTCTCTCTCTCTGTCTTTCTCTCTCTCGTGAAGAAAGAATTTTTTGTAGAAAATTACATTTATACACACGATAATGTTACTGACATGGAGTCATAGGATCACAGAACTTTGAGTTAGATTATAAAGAGGCATTATTTTATTTTTTATTTTTTATCTCCAAGGCGTCTAGACAAGTTTTTTTCCCTACATTTTGGTTATATAAAAGTTAGAATGATCTTAGAGAGCATTATACTTTTGGAAAAATAGGGCTTAGGATAGCAGTTGAATGCAGAATTGGTTTTCAGAATTTAATGTTTAAAATGTTAATATTTATTATTTCATAGGTTTATTTTGAATTGTAATTAATCATTGGTTTCGTATGGTAATTAACACACTTGTTTGTGCTTCTTGTTTGTCTGTTTTTTCCGAGAAAACTTCTGTCTGTTTCATTTGGCCAAAAATCGTCTCTGCCACAAACCACAATCGGGCGCCATCAGCACGGACCATCAGCGTCTCCCCCAGACCCACAGGGGGCACCAAAGACAGCAGCATCGGCTGCAGCAGCTAACAGGAACTCTCGAAGAAGACCTCTCCGGCCTCCATTTCATGGAGAAAAACCAGACTTTTGCACAAACCGAGTGGAGTTATGTGCACGGAGAAGAACGTTGTGTAAACCTAACAAGAAGAAGAAGGACACACGCTGGTGTGCGTCAAAAAATGAGACAAAGAAAGACATGAGAAAAGTTGTCGAAAGAAGAAGAAAATTATTGAAAAGAAAAAGACATTGCAAGGAGAAGAAAGTGATTGAAAGAAGAAGAAAGAAAGTGATTATTGAAAGAAGAAGAAAGAAAGTGATTGTTTAAAGAAGAAGAAAAAGACATTGAGACAAAGACATTGGACACTTTGAGACAAAAGACATTGAAAGACGCCATGAGTAAAAGAAAGACATTAACGGACATTTGAGACGTGGCTGGCCTAAATGAGACACACAGAAGGTAAATATACAGACAGGCAACAAACGCACAGAGACATGTGGAATTTAAGTCATATTTACACATTTAGGTCATTCGTTCATAACACCACATTTAGCTGCATGGAAAGAATACAGGACATTCGTTAAAATTAATTAGACTCTTGCTTTAGCATGAGACACAAGGAGATTAGAACAGCAGTATATTTAAGGTAGAGGAGCTCTATTATTGAAACTAGTATTATTATTTAAAGTTATAGACGCGGAGAAGTTTAGAATTATTGATTTTGACTGCATGATCTTGGTAATACGGATATTTAACGCAGTGTTTTCAACCTCTGAACCGTGGCTTGTTAATCATTTAAGAACAATCACATGCACAGATGAAACTGGTGCTAGGAAGAGAACTGCAGCTTTTAATGGACGCTGCATTTAGTACAAAATGGTTTGTTCAGACAATTAAAGTTTGAAAAATGGTTTAAAGCATTTCTAAATTTTGGCTAAAGGTGATATTGGATCATTTCTGATAACACATAGACGCAACACTGTTCATTGGTTGAAAACAAAGATGTAGGGACATTTTTTGAAATCTTTTATGACATGTTTCTCTTCCAAATAGCTAAATTAGAAACAATTAGGACAATTATGTCTTTGATATAACTGTTGGCCGTTCATCTGAGACATGATTGGTGCAAGTACAACAACACACATAAAACAATGGTCTTTTCTCCACATGAACGTGAAACAAAGGTGAAGTATTAAAGTTTGAAACTAATTTACATTTTTAAGGAATCCGAACTGGCTTTAAAAAAAAAGGGAAAAACATTTATTGCACGTGCATGAGTTTTTTAAGTAACAAGAGCTCATTAAAAATATAGGGGACACAATCTGTGAGAAGCCCGAGTAAAGACCACGTGGTAAACACTAAAGTTTGAAATGGATCCTTTTAAGAAAAAATCTCTCAAAGCTCTGCATGTTCTGCAGGCTCTGAAAGTTGCAACAATAGAAATAGCTCATGAGACAATTGTAATTGGACATGGAAAAATATAACAAAGTTAAAATTACAGGCCTCCTGTGTTGTCTATATGTTTGTGTATGTTATATGTTTGTGTATGTTATATGTTTGTGCGTCATGTCAAATACACTACGTTGACCTTAACAAACTGGACCAATACTAACGTGGGGTGTTGTGAGTGATGTGAGTGTGGAGTGAAATGAGGAGTGCTGAACGGAATCATGGAATAACAAAAATTTTTCTGTAATGTTTTAATGTGATCATGGAATAATTATTTTTTGTCAACAGCATACGGTGTAAGTACTAGAGATTCAAAGATAACAAGCTTTATTGAACAGGTGTAAAAGTGAGAGTACTCTGGGATGAGTACTCTGAGGAAAGTACTCTGAGAAAGTACTCTGAGATGAATACCTTGCTGAAGGTACTGGGAGCCCCCCCTCTGCTGTTTGCCCTGACAGTGATTCGGTCCAACCGCAGTGAGCGGTCATTGGGCGGAGGACAACTTTGGTTTGTAACTCACATTTAGGGGAGTATAAAATTAGAAACATACATATTGTTAAGTCTGTATTTGGCTACAGCCTCTGCCCTGATGCCACACACCGTCTGTCAATGTCGTTATGTTTTGCCCAATTGGATTGATTGACAGGCCGCACAATGCGAAGAGAGGAAAGTGGGCGTTTCTTGTGTTCTAATGTTTGTTTTTCAGATGAAAGATAAACTGCACCTGCTTCAGGGATAACACAGTAGTATGGATCATAAGGAAATGAGCCTCTACTTTGGCACCAAAGCCCACAATATGAATTGAGGACGATCCGGGAGGAACAACTGGAGAATGATTGGAACAGTAATCTACACACACACAGATGCATGTTTTATACTTGGCCCATGACCAACAGAGGGGAGTATGGTAATGTTATTGTCATAGGTGGTCATGGTCCTTAACCTTCTAAATCATTAGAAAGAAGTGTAAAACATATATTTACAAGAACAAATAAATAATAGAAAGGGCAGCCTAAAAAAGCAAAATGGGAAAATTATTAAGTAATTTTCGGAGTTGCCAAAATGAAATAAAATTCTATATTTGTCCCATAGGGGGTCATTCTAAATGTAGTGTTGGGCAAGTTCAAAAGGAGAAATAATAGCGCTTATAACATCAAACAGATCTACTCTTTAAGATAATAGATCATATAATAATAAGATAATAATAGAATAGAATGAAATAGTCTGGAGCTATAATGTCATTGGATTCGAGGAGCTATAGGTTGAAAGGTCGCTAGGAAGAGGTGTCAGAATAAACAATAGTAATAATAGTTAGACTAGTGAATAATCAAAATAGTTCTATTGTGGAAATAAGTATCAATAAGGTCAAATTGTTCTAATAACTAAAGTAAAAAGGAATCAAATGGAGTCAGATTTTAGATGTTTCTGTTTTCCACATCTGTAGGATCTAGTGCAGATGTGTTTATAGAGAGTAGTATTAAAATGCAGACACAGAACGACAGGCTTTAACACAATTTTAAATCTAAAAATAGCTCAAATATAACATTGCTCTTGACGCAGCCTCTGAGCTGCTCCATTGGAGAACAGGTTAAATGTTATTGTTTATTACAAACAGCTGATGTATTTACACATATTAAGTTTGGGACAACTCTTTAAACAGTTATAAGCAGCGGACAGAAGCCATGAATGTGCTTTTGTTTATTAAATAATTAAATGCATAGCCTTATAATCGTAGAGAACGTTTTAAAATAGTTAAAATCCCTTTCAGGCAACTTGATTTAGATGTATGTCTTTAATATTGGAGAACGACTGTGTTGTTTTTGGAATTGTCTGAAATACAATACATAGAATAGTGATTTGCAGAACAAGAACCAGCCAATGAAAAATCGTCTATTGCCAATGCAATTGTTACAATCAGAACTCAAAAATTGGGAATATGCTTTGGCTCAAACTACAACCAAGATTTGGAGTCACAATAGAGTGTAAAATAGATAGATGCTTTCAAAAAATAGAGATTATTTTTAGACAGGGTTAATATCAAACGGTAAAAAGACCATTTCCTTCATATTATGTCCAAAAGTAGTTACTTCAAAAGTAGATAAAGTTCATGAGTGTAGCCTAGATTAATGTAGCTTAGATTAATGAGATAGATTAGAACCAACAGAGATTCAAAAACATTTAAAAGCATTTTGGTGAATTTGGGTATAGCACAATTAGGTAGTTTTGAGAATTTTAAGAGCTGTCGATTTGTCAGCAACAGATTAGAGAATCAAAATACCGTTGTATAGGGACTAACCCCAGAGAAACCTGCTAAAATAGATTAGCTCCTGTACGGATAATACCAATTTGATTAACGATGTACATTTATCCCAAACGGTCTGAGAGAAGGAAGTGACAGCACTTCCTGGTTCAACAAAATGTATTTGGAAAAATGAGCAAAGCCCCACAAAATGGCACAGAGCCACTGATAATGAAAGCAAACCACAGTATAGATAGATTTATTAGATAAAAACATATGTTTAAGAATAGGGCTCAATAAAAGCAAAATAAGCAAACATATTTGTAAATAGATTAGAATAGTTTAAACTATAGTGAATAGTTTTAGTGCATACATTACAGACGAGGTTGAAGAAGAATCAGAATGACAGCAGTGGTCATCAAAGAGTTTAGTGAAGGAATGGTTAGAATGTGGTTTGTTGTGTGTTGTTTGTTTTCTCTGTATTAACTCTTCACAGATATCGAGCCGGAACTAAGCACAAGGATTGATGATGAACGACGATGTGGATTGTGACCTAATTTTTAATCAGGTCAAAAGAGGGAAACTGACATTCTAAAACCATGTGTTTTATGACCTAGCTGACCTCTAAGTGGGAGGCCAGTCCTTCTTATTTTATTTTAGGTGTCTTCTTGTGCCAACTGGACAACAGATTCTCCTGTTTGGATTTCACCCCCCTAGTCTTGGCCTGCTGACTTCTGCACTTTTCAACCTCACTCCATCAGGAGTCTGGCAGACGGAGGAAAAGGCTGGACCCTAGACCGGAAGCTGGCTGATAGGACACTCCCCTCCTTCCTGTTCTTTATATGCTCTGGCTTGGGGAGAAACAGTGGGATCAGACGAGGGCCAGAGAGGGACATATTAGTTTTAGGAGCACTCTTTTGTTGAATATCTTGTATCTGATTGTAAAGATAATTAAATGCAGATGTTAACCTTTGAGAATCTTTTTGTCTGATTTCTGTATCAAATTGTGGACACGTCAGCCAAAGGGAATTATTGGCTTCACATGGCAGGTTGTCGTACCATCGGTTCTGGTGCCGGAGGTCCTGCGTCTTCTTCATGGTGGGCCCTTGACTGGCCATTTGGCTGTGGAGCGGACCATGGCCCGTGCACGCGGGGTGTGCTTCTGGCCTTGTATGTATCGTGACATACGCACTTGGTGTGAGCAGTGTTATGCCTGTCAGAGGCGCAAGGCGCCTGTGCCTCACCATCGTGCTCCGATGCGGACGACGTTGGCACAGCGCCCGTTTCAGCGGGTTGCGGCAGACATATTGGAGTTGCCGGCCACGTCGAGAGGAAACCGCTATGTTCTGGTGGTGGAAGACTATTTCACCAAGTTCGTTAACATGTATGCTATTGCGGACCAGAGGGCTACTACCGTGGCAGAGTGTCTCTTTAACAATTTCATCTTGGAGCATGTGTTATGGAGACCCTTCATACTGACATGGGGCGACAGTTTGAGTCAGACGTGGTTAGGCAGTTGTGTACATTGTTGGGTGTTAAAAAGACACATACCACGCCTTATAATCCTAAATTTGATGGCATGGTAGAGAGACTAAACGCTACTTGCTTGTGAGGGTGAATGGGACTCGTTCTTATCTCAGGTTGCGTTTGCATACAATACTAGCGTTCATTCCAGTACAGGATTTACGCCCTATTTTCTTACTCATGGTAGGGAGGCTCGTGTTCCTGTGGATGTGTTTTTGGTTCCTATTATGCAGACTGGTCAGAGATATGACTCTATTGATGATTTTGTTTTTCCCTTCGTAGACGTTTGGATGCTGCCTTTCGCCAGAGTCGCAATAACAGTGTGACTGCGAGTGACAAACAGAGGACCTTTTATGACAACAGAGAGAGACACAGGCCTTACGAAATTGGGGATTTAGTGTGGCTTCATGACCCAACTGAGAGCCGCCGTAAATTGGCCCCACACTGGAAGGGGCCTTACATTATTGAGCGGAGACAGGACCGTGACGACGTGGTTGGGGTTACATATGTGATTGGAAGTCCATTTGGGGATGAAGCCCCCAAACAGACAATTCACTATGATTGACTACGTTCCTATTGTTTTCCGAGTCCTGTTCCTTTGGCTGGCCCACCGAGAAGTGCCGCTCTAAGTACACAGGGCCCTGTGACCTACGATGCACTCTCCTCACACGGTGAGCCTTCTGTGTCCACCCCCTCGCCAGTGAGGGAACAGGTGGACGGTGAATTTGGACCTGATGCGGCCCCTATAGAGGGATCCTACAGTCACGTGACTAGCAGCCACGGCAGCCATACTGGAGGACAACCTCGGCGAGTAACAGCCCTGCTAGCTATCTATAACTGGACGTTCAAAACTAGAACTCTCTCGAACTACATGAAAACTGAACAGAGAATTTGAAACTTCAGCAGTTAGTGACCCAAATATATACTCAACCTAAATTCATGAATCAGATCCTCTGAAAATGCATCCTAAAATGTATTATTAATGTTTATCGTTACATCCAGGTTTACCGCGGTCGCATATTGTCGCATTAAAACAGTGTTTTTTCATGAAAACGTGAACAGAAAATTCTGAAAACCTCTGTGCACGTGTATTAAGAATGTATATGTATAATGTATTCTCCGATTAACATTTAATGTGTTTATTGTTACACCATGGATCTATGTGTGGCTACACTGCAGTGGAAATAATGAGATTACATTCAAATCAATGGAGCTTTCTGCGTCTACTGTGAGGAGCCGTATATTTTATTAATAAATACTAGTACGGGGCACCCTCGAGCACGGCTCAGTCGTTCACATGTCTGCTGGCCTTCGGTAAGTCAGATACCCTGTGAACCCAAATATATAACAGCTATGCTACAAGCTAAGCTACAGTCTATGGAGCAACCCCACGTTGCAGTCAGACAAATATGTTTTATCCTTAAACTTCTGTTTGTTTCGGAATAACACTAAATCCGCCATCAAATTGATTTCACTTAGCAGAAATGAAATGATCCGAGCAAATTCGGGCGCTCTGGTGGCTATTAGTTTTTTGTTGTTGCGTATGGTTGTGCCATTTCTCTCTCGTTTCTTTGAGATGTCTTCTGTTTTTGAGCCGTGTGAAGTAAGGACGGCTGGCAGTCGGTAACACAACTTATTTTCCCTGTCTCTCCTTTTGCTGCAGCCAAAAACAGAACAAATTTTGAACATGTTTATGCGGTCCCGGTTGCACGCCACTATCATACAGCGTTTGCTTGTCCTCCAGTATGGCGGATGCCCCGCGAGTTCGAGGCATCGTGACGTCACGTGAGATATCTCTATTGGTGGTCAGGTGTAGGTGTCGCGTTCTGGACGACACAGTAAGGCGCCTGACGTTATGCTGACTATGTTATCGGTTAAGGTTCTGATGTTGTGTAACGGGTTATGTATGTTATGCTTGTTATTGTTTTTTTTTCTCCCTCCTCTTATGTTATTGTATTGAAATGGGGACATTTCATGTGTAAGGGGGGGATATTGTAAGCGTGTGCTAGAGTGCGCATGCGCAAAGAGCTGTGGAAAACTTTAAATGTCAAAAACTGGCCGGGAGTGTAACGGTCGTGTTGGACTGTTCATGAATACACGGACTCTGGTTATTTTATTCTCCAAAGATACTTCTGCCTCTGCTTCCTACCCAGCTTGCCCGTTACAAAAACATCATATTTGTCCAAGAGGACGCTTTTGAGATGGACAAAAGTAAGCTTAAAGTAAAGTAAGTAACCTGTTTGCCTATGATCTTTCCCCCACCAATGGAAGAGTGCGTTGCGTCGTGATCCCGCCCTGTCTGCCGTCGCGTCCTCGTGGTGGGTGGTCCTTGGAGCGTAGACCGGAAGACGCTTACCGGCGCATGTTCAAAGCAAAAACCTGAGCAGCCCGAGTGCCTCAGCGATGGCTGAGCCGTGTGCCTTTGGAGATACGCTGCCCCAAGAAGAGACTGACTTTCAGAGCATGCTGGCTCAAATCGGAGGCAGAGAAAGGATACATTTGGTCAGCGACATTGGAGAAAGTAAAGAGAACGACGACGCAATGGTTTTACAGGAGTTTCTTCGTGATGTATTTAATCAAAGCAGCTTCACAAACTCACAGCCTCGTCTACCGGGAAACTGCGGCGACGTTGACAATAAAAAGCTCACATCCTGCAAAACAGGATCAGCCACGGAATTTCCTTTAACTGAGAGATCAGAAGAAGTGACCGGTCCTGTTCAAGGAGTCGTGAGAGAAAAGCAGAACGCTAATGATCAGAAAACGGTGACGAGGAGGAACATTTACAGCTCAAAAAGAACCATCGATTGTCCTGTCATTATCTTCATTTTTAGGACTACTTTTCTAAGTTGTCATGCCAACCTAGTTTGCTTGAAGGAGATTCTCAAAGACGTAAAGGCGCGAACTAAACGTGCAAAGTTTGCACTGCCAGCTCTGATAGGATTAACACACACAAGTTTGGAGAGCGCAGAGAGCAAGCAGTGCACTCTGCTGCTGGAGACCATGATGCGCACTGTGTTCCACAGACATGCTCCAGGCGACATGTGGATCGGAAGCTTCATTCCTGAGAAAGAAGACTACATACTTGAGATCAAGAGAAACATCTGTAGAGTCATCCTCTCCTCCAGAACAGCAGGTGTAACAATAACACGCATTGCAGAGTAGACTATACTAAAACCTTCTTTGGCCTTGACACAATCTGTATAACACAATCATTCATGTTTGTATGCACTCTTAATTGGGTCAATTCATGACATTCACGTGGCCTCATTTACAACTCTGGGTCAACTCAAAGGGTTCACCAACAAAAGGAGCATTCACTGAACGTACACAGGAAGGCCTGATAATGAACTGCTCTTTGATAAACATTTTATATTGTCTTCATAGATAATACACGGCATAAAGGGAACCCGCTACTCTGGCCATTCCAATGTTTCCTCGGCCCTAACGGACGATTAGCAAGAGGCCAAGCAAATAGCAACTCAACAGACAACTGGCAACCAGGTTGGATTGGGTTACATTTTTTATCAATAACCCCAGTATGCATTGTGATGTTGGTCAGCAAAGACCAACAGTAGTTGGCAGCAGTTGTTGTATATAAATGTTCATCTTTCACATATTTTCAGGTAAAAAGGACTTAGAAGAGTGCATTCCCCTGAGAACCAATAACCAGCCCATTTGCCTTCCTGTGGTGGATGAAGACTCTCCTGTCAAAGATGGTTAAAGCTGTCTGCTGGACCTTTTTTAGATATTTTTTTAAAACAAACTTCACATTTAATTCACTTCAACAGTTTAGCGAGGGACAGACATTGGTTTATTAATAATAAATGTTAAATATTTTCTACGCAATGACAGTAAGGCAAGTTGTACAGTTTGTAACCATTACTAAAATTGTAAAGCTTCATTGAATTGTTAATTTAATATATTTTTAAGTTAACAAAGTCTTTTAGATTTTATGTATCTTACCTTTTCATTCATAAACACTTAACCACATTGGTTATTGCCTATTCAGTGAGTGAGGCTTTACAAGCACTGTAGGATGAAAATGTGATTAATTATCAATAAAATGTGACATGTTATTCATTGCAGCCTCATCAATCATTATTTCGCAATATACGTAATAGATTGATTCAATCTCTGGTAAGTGCATCACACACTTAAAGTTCTACAGAGATTGGCTTCATTTGATGTCTTGAATATGCAACCAAATCTTTGCTACGGGTGGTGGAAGCTGTTTAGCAAGCATGCAGAGTTCACTTTTGAGCATAATCTAGTTGGTATTCCATAGATTCCTTCATCATAGTTTTTATGTTAATTATGGACTGAAGGTAACTTGGACAGAAGGCTCTTATGTTCCGTCAACACTGATTTTACATTTTTCACAATATAATGCAATAACTATAATTCACGTCATAAATGATGTAACCTATAAAAAAAAAATCATGTACAGTACAGACCAAAATTTTGGAACCACTTTCTCATTCAATGAGTTTCCTTTCTTTTCATGATATTGACTAGGTTCACACCCAGTGTAAGGGCTGTTTGACCAATAAGAAGAGTGATGGTGATGGGCCAGATGACCTGGCTTCCACAGTCACCGGACCTGAACACAGTCCTGATGGTTTTGGGGTGAGCTGGACCACAGCGTGAAGGCGAAAGGGCCAACAAGTGCTAAGCATCTCTGGGAACTCCTTCAAAACTGTTGGAAGACCATTTTTCTTGAAGCTCAAGAGAATGCCAAGACTGTGCGGAGCAGCAATCAAAGCAAAAGGTGTCTACTTTTAAGAAGTAGACACCTTTGAATATAAGACCTTTATTCTGTTGTTTCATACATATTTTTTTTTTTTTAGTACGCACATAATGAGTTAATTAATAGTTTTGATGCCTACAGTGTGAATCCACAATTTTCATAATCATGAAAATAAATAAAACACAGAAAATATGTCCAAACGTTTGGTTTGTACTGTATAAATGTTTGTTTAAAAAAATAAAATAAAATAACATTTAATATTTATAGGAAATTTGGAAACGGTGATTTGACATCTTTGCCTCAGCTGTCCTCTACGCCTGTTCATTCTTTAGTGCCAGCTACAAAATATTTATATCCTGGTTATTGGATGGTTATCCAAGTATAGTATTCTATATTCATAATATACTGAATAATATATTATATACCCATTGTAAAAGGTTTCAAAATACTTATTTGTAATTCTTCTGCTCCGGCACAAGAGTGGCCAGCTAAGGTTGAGGTCCTTAGGGGCCCTGCGTAGGCATCAGACAAAACAGCGGTGTCAGGCTCAGATGTAGGAACTGCTGTTGGACTTTGTTTAACACATTTCTCTATTAATAGTCCAAACCCATTGCGGATTATACACCGTGTGTGAGTGGAACGTCTTGGATTAACCATGATTACTTCTGCCGGTAAGAACATTTGTGTTTGTGTGGAAGTGTGGCTGACGGTTAGCTTCAGTCTGTATAGCTGAGTCACACAGCTCACACTGACTGATGCTAGGCTAATGTCAATAAATTATTTCGTCTGTGTTGGGATTTAATTTATCAGGTGTTTTTAAGACTTTCACTTTTGTTACTTTAAGGGAGAGTTGATTTTTTTATGTGGCAATATTATCAACACTGTCAGTAGTTACATGTTTACAGCCAACACCGGAGTCTCTAAGCTAGCTTATAGTACAGTGAGCTAAAAACCATTTCGAATGCATGTTTGTCATAAACTTACGTTTGTTCTTCGAACTTGTCATAAATGTACATGTGTAAACTGTGCTATAACGTTACAAATGTGTAATTGGTGCATTGTTTTATTCCAGCTGGGATAATTTCGCTTCTAGATGAAGATGAGCCACAGCTCAAGGTATTTAGATAGATGTGTGATTAGTTTGAACATTGATTGTGTTGGACTGTGATTCTTGAATTGGTTATTTGATAAATTAAGTGATATAACTTGTTTTAATGTTTCATGGTAGGAATTTGCTCTTCAAAAACTGGACACCATAGTCAACGACTTTTGGGCTGAGATTTCAGGATCAGTTGATAAAATGTAAGTGTATGTTTCAAAATGAGTAAATTCATCAGGAAAATGTATTTTCATTCTATTACTACTCCTAACAAATGCTCAATTCAATTATTTCTTAAATGCTTTTTTTCCCAGTGAGGTGTTGTATGAAGATGAATCATTCCGTAGCCGAGAGTTTGCTGCCCTCGTGGCCTCAAAGGTCTTTTATCATCTGGGTGCTTTTGAAGAGTCTCTGAACTACGCTCTTGGAGCCGGGGATCTCTTCAATGTCACTGATGAGTCTGAATATGTGGAGACCATCATTGGTGAGTCAAGGAAAATCAGTTTAGACCTTTGGAACCCACTGAAAGAATTCCACTCATCAAATTGTTTTTTTGGATCTTAGCTAAATGTATTGATCATTACACAAAGTTGCGGGTGGAGAATGCTGAATTACCAGAGGATGAAGAGAAGAAAAGCATTGATCCCCGTCTGGAGGGAATTGTCAACAAAATGTTTTTACGTTGCCTTGATGACCATAAATACAAGCAAGCTATTGGCATTGCTTTGGAAACAAGACGACTGGACATGTTTGAGAAGACTATTTTAGAATCGGTCAGATTTTTTCTTTTTTTCTTCTACCATCCTTGATTTTTTTTTATCTATCTAATCAACTGGCTTTGACACATGTTTTTACTCTGTCCCACAGACCGATGTGAGCGGCCTTCTTGCTTATAGTTTGAAGGTTTGCATGTCCTTGATGCAAAATAAGAAGTTTCGTAATGAAGTACTGAGAGTCCTGGTTAAACTCTACATGAATTTGGAAAAGCCTGACTTCATTAATGTTTGTCAGGTATTGGCATGTTTGTGTCTCACTGATTGTCACACATTAACAGTTTAAAAGTAATCTCATAATTTTGTGTATGTTTTTTTTTCTCCATAGTGCTTGATTTTCCTGGATGACCCGCAGGCTGTGAGCGACATTTTGGAGAAACTGGTGAAGGAGGACAACCTGCTGATGGCATATCAGATTTGTTTTGATCTTTATGAGAGTGCCAGCCAGCAGTTCCTCTCCTCTGTAATTCAGAATCTTCGCACAGTTGGGACCCCCATTCCAGTTGTTCCCGGATCTACAAACACAGGAACGGTGCCAACATCAGACAAAGACAGGTACAAACATCACGCCTATTACCAATAGTAATGTTATCATTCTTTTCAAATATGTGAATTGTAATGAGACTTGCATGTTTCTGATGCAGTGAGGCAATGGACACTGATGAAAAACCAGGAAGCTCCCCAGCTGGAAAACCAGTAGATTCTGTAAGTTCTTCTAGTTTTGTAACTACAAGTACATGTTTGCAATTTTATTTCTCTTTGTCTTTGTAGAAAGATGAACCTAAGGACCAAAATGCCAAGATGATCAAAATTCTAAGCGGCGAGATGGCGATTGAGTTACATTTGCAGTTTCTAATTCGAAACAACAACACAGATTTAATGATACTGAAAAATACAAAAGTAAGGAAGGTCTAACCATTTCTTTTCCAAAAGCACTGATTCCTTTTGTAAATGTTATGCTTTTCTATTTTTACTCCAGGATGCAGTTCGGAATTCAGTTTGTCACACAGCTACAGTTATCGCCAATTCTTTTATGCACACAGGAACCACAAGTGATCAATTTCTCAGGTAGCCTAAAAAAAAAATGGCACGTGTATTAACAAATTTTTGATAAGCCATCTAACATTCTTGTTTTTTATGTGAAGGGAAAACTTGGAATGGTTGGCCAGAGCCACAAATTGGGCAAAATTCACAGCAACAGCAAGTCTTGGTGTAATCCATAAGGTATGACGCTATGACAAAAACACTTCTGATATGACATTTGTTTGCATTGCTGAATAATCTTTGCATGTAGGGTCACGAAAAAGAGGCGCTCCAGTTAATGGCCACATACTTGCCAAAAGACACTTCTCCTGGATCTGCCTATCAGGAAGGAGGTGGCCTTTACGCTCTTGGGCTCATTCATGCTAACCACGGGGGTGACATCATTGACTACTTGCTCGGTCAACTTAAAAATGCTAGCAATGACGTAAGTAACAGTAAACATGCACATCCCAATGACTGAAGTGCACAAAATGACTCTCTGCTTGTAACATTTTCCACTTAGATTGTTCGTCACGGTGGTGCCCTTGGTCTGGGTCTGGCTGCTCTGGGCACAGCAAGACAGGATGTTTACGACCTGCTCAAGTCAAACCTCTACCAGGACGACGCCGTCACTGGTGAGTAGGCTACAACTTTAATGTATCTTTCTTCTGGGGTTATTTTCTGGGGCTATCTATTTGAATTTTACTCCAGGTGAAGCTGCGGGTTTGGCTCTGGGCCTCGTTATGCTGGGCTCCAAATCTGCCCAGGCCATCGAGGACATGGTTGGCTATGCCCAGGAGACGCAGCATGAGAAGATCCTACGTGGTCTCGCAGTGGGCATTGCTATGGTCATGTATGGACGTATGGAGGAGGCGGATACCCTTATAGAGAGCCTGTGTAGAGACAAGGTATTGGTAACTGTTTTGTGACGACTCTTTTATCTACAGTATGTCCCCAGACAAATGGTGTGAAAATTATATATTAAGCCTTTTCTTATCAAATTGTGAAGGCTGAACTATCCTTAAACACTGGACGACGTGGGCACATTGTTTATGTTTACATTTCTCAAGCTGTCTAAACAGAAGGCAGATTGAGGACCTCCATTTGGGTTGCCAGTTTCTTTTAAATTCAGCTGGTTTATCTTGACCATGTGTGTGCTCTCTATGCAGACACAGGGGCCGCATTTGGTTTAGATGTATTTGTCTGCAAACACATTAACAACCTTCTGTTCCTCTTAATGCTGACAGAAGTGCATTATGTCCCATTGAAGTCTCGTGGCGCAATATTATAAACTACTACTACAAATCTTGAGTGTGTAAATGTCAAAGGAAATGGGTATAACTAGTCTAAAGTGTCACAAGATTGCATGTTATGCCCTCTTCAAAACATGAAAGGAAAAAGTTTCATATTCATGAACCGTTTATAGAGAAGTAAGGCCAACTGCCCATTCACAACTACTCAACCCAAAGTGGCATTAGGTTTCTTACAAGATTGGAATAGATTATATTCCTAAATTGCCTAAGTTTCCCTGTTAAACCCCATGTATAACAGAGGTTTGAATAAGACTCAAAGACAGTGCTTTTTAATGATTCTTTTTGTCTCTTCGTAGGATCCTATTCTTCGGCGCTCTGGTATGTACACTGTTGGCATGGCTTACTGTGGCTCCGGAAACAACAAGGCCATAAGACGTTTGCTTCACGTTGCTGTGAGTGTCTTCTGTCTGACCATATTTTACCATGTACACATTTCATTATGATGGTAAAAATGCACAGAGCTTTAGTATTTATCCCTTATGTTATATATATATATATATATATGTATATGAAAAATCTGGACTGGCTAAGATAAATATTTTCACATGAGCCTATTATCCAGTAGGAGGTGCTCATCTCATGTGCAACTAAGATTGAAGTCTGTTTTCGTGGTTGTAGGTAAGTGATGTGAACGATGATGTGCGGAGGGCAGCTGTGGAGTCCATTGGCTTCATCTTATTCAGGTAAGATGCCATACTCAAATGAAAGAGCTAGGAAAAAACAGCTAAGTATGGAGATTTTGACAGAAACAGAAAATGTCACCTTTCCAGTAGAGGCTAATGCATTTTTCGGACCTAACCTCAGGGTTTGCTGTAAAGTTAATCTCCGACCATTCTTTTAGTTTGATCTGTGTGCCCTTTCTGGTTGTTTTAAGATGACCTTGTTTCATGAATCCCCATTTCCAACGATATGTGCTTGGTCCAAAGTGTGTCATAGTAAAGCTGCAATCAGTCATAAAACATTAAGCTCCAAACATTAAGAGAAAGGGAGAGGGAGGGAAAAATATTAAAATACAATACTTTCAGTGTATACTTATGAAGGACAAGAGTTGCTACTGCTCCAGCTGATTAATCGTGTGTGTATAGCTGTAAAATGACTAAAAAAATCAATTATTGAAAGAGATAACTTTAAATTTAGTGATTTGTTTTATAACAATAAATAAATATTATATTTATATATAATTGCATTATAATAATAATAATGTGCGTTATTATAATAATGCACATGCACAGGTTTATCCAACCATGTTCTGGTAGTGAGGGCTCAAATCACTCTTCTGCTTTTGGAACTTGCAAATGACGTGTGATACTTTCTGATTGGATACTTAACTTGATAAATAAGTTAACATGAACGATGATTGTTTTTTTTTCTTAAATAAAAATAAATCATCATAAAACAGGTTGTAAAATACTGTATTTGATTTGGGAACATAATGTAAAATCTTATATGCATCATCTTAAGCTATTGCACTGAAACATAAATGACTCACAGACAAAAATATTCTTGTTTAAACTGCAGTACATTGCCTTCCAACTCGAAATGAAAATCAAACTTCATCTTCATTGCTTTGTTGCTGCAGATGAAAGATTCCATTGTTTTTTTTCCTAGTCATCGGGATAATACAAAATACATTTTGACATATATTTTGGTTCTATTAAAAACAGATGCTCTTGTTTTACTGGAACTACACACAGCTGACACGCTCGTGTTTACAGTCTACATTTTCAGTCCGGAACAATGTATCCAAAACCACCGCCGCGGCAGCAGCTGCCTGACAAGCTGGCTGTCCGGAGCCCACTGGGCTCTGGTAGCTGACTCCAATCCCATTCCTCATCCCATGTTTCACAAACAATGTTGAGGTTTCAGCCACTGAACACTGAAATGACATCCGTGTGAGTGTTTTCTCTGTGGTGGAAGAGAGCGGCTGTCTTCCTTTGATCTGAGGCCCGTGGTTCTTGTATTGACATGTAATGTAGCGTGTGAATGCCTCCCTGAACGTTTTGTTGAACAGTGTATAAACCAATGGGTTGATGCCTGAAGACACATACCCGACCCACACAAAGATCTCCATAAGACGGGCGATTAGGTTCACGTCACAGCTGGTGCACAGCACAGAGGTGATGTTAGTGATGAAAAACGGGCACCACATAACAATAAACAATAGAAAGACAATACCCAGAACTTTTGATGCTCGCTGTTCATTGCTCAGAGTTTGCATTGACTTTTTTCCCATGGTGGACATTCTGCGGATTGGCATCTCTGCTCCTGCAGAGGGGTGCAAAGCCCCTGCATTATGCTTTTCATGTAACCAGGGCAGCCTGAGTTCTGAGAGTTGGTCAGTGTAAGATGGGGTTACACACCTGGGGTGTTCTCTTTGGAACAATGTGGATACAGTGGGATATCCAATTTGGTCCGTCACTCTAGACCTGAGCAGATTAACTTTCTTACGCAGCACTTGGACCGTGAGTAGATTAATGACCATCATTATTGTCAAGGGGATGAAGAACGCTGCTAAAGATCCAAACATGATGAACTCCTTAAAAGTGTCCGTCTTCAGGAGACATGTGTGATTACTGTCAAATGTGATGTTGTTTGGAAGAGGGTAGCTCTGGAGCCCCTTGATCGGTATTGGGATGGCAATACCTGGAAAACAAAAGCTGTTATTAAATGTTATTAATTTATAATAAGGGAATTATCCATAACAAATATTCAGGTTAAAAGAAAAGCCTGGATTTGTTTTTGGTCGTTATGTCTAAAAAAATGTTGTGTGAGAATAGTAGTAGTCTTATTACAGCCGACCACAACTATTAACTTCTCCAAAATAGAAAGTTCTGTTTTTTACATGACTGAAACCTATTTTTTATTTAATCCAAATGGAACATTTTTGTTTGATTGTTGCAGCTGTGGGGGGTTGTGTATGCTTACAAATGGATATTAGCCACACCAGTGCTATCTTCACCAAGGCCTTGGTTCTGGACTTGTACTGACTGTGTTGAATGGGCTTCTTGATGGCGATGTATCTGTCCAGTGAGATCGCACAGAGGTGCATGATAGATGCGGTAGAAAACAGCACATCCAGGAAGAGCCAAATGGGGCAGATGAACTCCGGAAGAGGCCAGTCTGCATCTAATATGCAATGATTAAAGATGTCATTAAATACAACATTATTTTTTCACATTTGATGTATATTTGGAGAAACTGGGACCCAAGATATAACAAACTGGGCTCTAAAACACACAAGCCATCAGGGATTTTAGAATACCACACATGAAGATGGAGTTTTGTTTAGCTCCTCAAGAAATAACTTTCCAGGAATAAAATGGACTTCACTAAATGTTTATAAAACTAAATGCTTATATGGAGACTTTTCTCATTCCTGGTGTTTATTCTAAGCTCTTCTTAAACTGGCTTTTATATGGTTCTAAAGAAATGAACAAAATATGTCTTTCCCATTTGAATCTATTTTACGAACAAATAATTGTTATGCCATTGTTTGAGGGGGCATTTTGCAAATGCGTATACATATGAACATTCTGTTTTTCTATTTCTATGAAGTCATAACCACTTTTTTATGTTTTGAGTTGTTGAGGGGGTTGACAGTTCAGTTGAAGTACATTGATAAAGCAGATGCCTTGTGTAAACTTACTGTAGAGAACGGTGACCAGAGCAATGGGCATCACCAGCAGTCCTACCAACAGGTCTGCCACAGCCAGAGACATCAGGAAATAGTTTGTGGCATTCTGCAACTTTTTCTCCAGTGACACGGCAAGAATGACTAAAATGTTTCCTCCAATAGTAGGAATTATGACCATTCCGATCAGGAGCGCGGCCCACTGTGGCCCAGTCCCAGGGTCCTTTCCCGCGGTGGTGCTGTTGGGTGGGAGTGCACCCACCACAGAGCGAGACATGTTGGTGCAGTCAGGATGGCCAGTCCAAGTGCAGCTCGAGGCGTGGAGGTTTCCGCTGCTCTCTGTGTGTTGTATGACATGGTCTCTGTCATACAGGTCCAAAGTGTACACATGATGCTACATCCTTTGTAGTGACCTCCAACTTGGGTCTGTGTGTGATCGTCCAATGATAAGGGTTCATCGCTAAATGTCTGAAGAAGTTCCAATCATGTGCTCCTTTTCCGCAAAGTATAATCCAAAACCTGTCAAAACAAGAGTTTCAGTGTTTAAAAAGGAAAATCTTTGACAAAAATGTGTTATCATTTGAGGGAAAAGATATTATTAAAACTTTATGATAAAGTTTCTTACCCCTCAAAAGAGAATCAGCAGAAAATATCCTCTCCCTCGCTTAACTCTGTCCCCGTCTGGAACACTGCATGATTTGGAATTTGTTTTGCTTCCACATTTTGGATGAAGCCCCGGTTTTGTTCTGCATCATCTCATGGCCACAGTTTTTAAACTGTTCAGATGTTGAGCTGCTCCACTGTGTTCCCCGCTCTCACAGCATCTGAACCAGGTCCTGTCTCTCGTCTGGAGCTCGTGTCTCCTCCCCCTGTGCCTGCCTTTGAATCAGACTTTGCATTAAACAGATGACGGACTTCTTTCTGGCGACATGCCAGCTATTCTGGGAGGTCATTTCCCCCTACTCTGCCACCCCACTGTTTGGATTTGCACCTTTCTGCTCTCTCCACAAGTAGTGTTATAATACCTGCAGTACTATAGAATGAAAGAGTACTAGTAGACGTTTCCAAGGGGAAATTTGTCATTCTTTATTTTTTCTCTTTGTAGAACTCCAGAGCAATGCCCCAGTGTGGTGTCCCTTCTGTCTGAAAGCTATAACCCTCATGTGCGCTGTGGAGCTGCCATGGCTTTGGGCATTTGCTGCGCCGGGACGGGCAACAAGGTAAACCATTACATTGTTTTAAAGGATTTACATTTTAATGCATCACTGGGTAGCTGAGCAGGCAAGTCACCTGCATGAATTTATGGACTTAAAGTTTAACCATATTTGAACATTCTCCATAGAGAGATGGGATTTGACTTCTATTGCAATCTGTGTACGATTCAAAGCTATAAGAACATTTTCATTGAACAGTAATGACGCTCCAAAGACATTTTTGAAAAGGGGCGCTTCTTTTCATTGCTCTACTCAAAAGGATTGTGAGCGGAAACTGAGAATCCAGGACTTGTGCTGTCGTCCCCGGCAACCAGATATGCTTGACACTAATGTCTTTTGTAATGTCATTTGTGTGGTCTGGCTGCTAATTAACTTTTTTCTGCTAAATCTAGTCTTTTGAGTAGGTTGAAATATAATTTTAGCACCCATTTATTGTATGCAGGAATACTACAGTCTTAACAAAATTATCATTAATAATATATCTCGGATCATTACGTGCAAAGCAGATTGTTAACTAATCATGTGTATGTAATGGTCATTCACAATCAGGAGGCCATCAATCTTCTGGAGCCCATGACCAATGATCCGGTCAACTACGTGAGACAAGGAGCGCTGATTGCCTCTGCGCTCATCATGATCCAACAAACTGAAGTCACCTGTCCAAAGGTAAGTGTTTTATATACTTCCCATTGAAAATCCCACATGTTTAACCCCTGATTTATTGTTTAGGTGAACCAGTTCAGGCAGCTGTACTCAAAGGTGATCAACGACAAGCATGACGACGTAATGGCAAAGTTTGGTGCAATCCTTGCCCAGGGAATCCTTGATGCAGGTTTGTATTCAAGAGATACAAGGCGTTCAGAAAATGCAATGCTTCTTGAAGTGTAGCTCTTTTTCACTTCAGTTCAATTAAAGGAGCTATACCCGTTTCTGCAAGATTTGAATGTTTAGCACTGCCCCCCCAACTCGCTCACAGGTTTCCCCTACGCTCTCATCCCTCGGAGCAATCTAGATTTATTTGCGATCTATATGCAAACATTAGCATGATTGCAACTACCACTGATGAAATGGTATAAAAGTAACGCACTGCTAACAAAATATACAAACTGAAAGATTACCGCTAGTTTCGCGTCCCAATGTGGTCCGAGGCGGTCCCGCTCCTGCAGGTCTCTACCACAGACTGTAAGTCTCCAGAGGATACAACGTTCACCCGGGCTTGATTTCTTTTTTGATATTTTTTTTGCTTTAGTTCCCTCTTCTATTCCTCACTTTTGCATCGTTTGGGCTGTTTTGCTGTGTCTGCAGTTACATAGGCACTTTCTGCCTCCATTCTGCTCTTGTTTACCAGTGCTGTAGAGGCTAGAGGGCGTAGCCTCGTTCTGTGAGTGGAGGAGAACGAGCGTCACGCTAAGTCTCTACTCGGCACTTTAAACGACCTGAAAACATACAATCAATGAGCTCAATTTTTCAATTAAATTACGGATTATAATATAACTTGTATGTAGTAATAAGCATTTTTATGAACTCATTAAAAAGAAATTGAGTATAGCTTCTTTAAATGAGATTTTAATTTGGCCCTAAACCACGACAGTAGTTATCTCAGAGGACTTTACAAAACCTTTTGAATCTGCATTTCTTTTGTGTTTTTTATCATTGCCAACACTGCTCCGAGAATCAAAACTGTTCAAAGAGCCATTGGCCATAAGGGGCAGACGACCAATGTTTTTAAGACACTTACCACCCATGCAGAGTGTTGTTGGTCTTTTGCTCTGATTCAGCCCCACAGTAATTACCGTTTGTCTGATTGCGTGTGCCTTTGTGGACCCTTTAGCTGTGAGTGTGTGAGGTCTGCAGAGCTGGTCATTGTCACATACGACTAACACAGTCACACATACACACAAGTGCAGAAAGTCCCAACACTAACACAACCACACCAGAAGGAAACCAGTTATGTTTACATACTCCTGTCAGAATACACTCAGGTGTTGCACTGCATGGAAGCGTCTCTGCTGCAAAGGCTTTGGGGAAGGAAATGTAGTGACAACAAGTGTAGCAAGTGACAATAGTGTCATGTTGGGATGCCACATGGACACAAATACGCTATAGTTTAAAAAAATGCGGTGGGGTGACTGTAAAAAACATTTTACACATACTGTAGTGACCAGCAAAGCTCTAACCTTTGTTTGGAGATACACTTTCCTGTTCAAATTTATATTAAACCACATTTTCACAACATTCAACATCTTCCAAACAATTATTTGTCTTATAAATGTGTCTAAAAGTGGTAATATGAAAACTTAATAGACAAGAAAATCTAATCGCAATCAAAAATAATACATTCAAAAAACATCTGGTCATTTTCCCTTAAAGTTGTATTGGCACCAGCCCTTCAGCTGATAACACATATTTTCTCAGAATACATCCGAGCAAGTAGTGATATGAAGCAGCATAGCAGTGTTAGCAATGCCCTCTGCTTCTCGGAGGAGGTGTTTCTGAGGTTCAGCCCTGCAGTATTTGTGTATAATTTGACGAGCGGAAACCATTAGAGTGCAGTTTCAAGATCATTGCTGCTCATTACATGGAAATGTTTTGCTCAAACATTCGCTCCTCTCCAGCACATGTAGTGCCTTCAGACATCCTTTTAATGCAGAAATAACAGATGCCTGGTGAAGGGCTCTCTGCTTTTCACGGCTTCCAAAGAGACTCTTGAGCTCCACATTACTCTGTGTTGTGTACAGAAGGCCAGTGACTCCATCAGCCCATTGTTCATTCTTTATGTGGAATCGGTTTAGTCTCCGCTCCAACTCTGTGTGCTATAAAAGGCTCTCTTTGACCCCAGGAGGCTTGGCGCATGGCACTGCAAAAGAAAACATAATTCATCTTGTATAGTATCAGTGGCTACATCTCTGAGCCATCACCTATATTGTATGTATGTTCTAAAGCAGCCATTCCCAAACTCAGTAACACCGAGGCCCCCTTAAAAATCTGACGGGTCTGCGTGGCCCCCCAAAATAATAACCAAGAAGACAACATTAAGAATAGGCCTTTCTGGTTATTTTATTTTGGGGAAATAGCCTCTGCTACAAACATTGTAATACAAAAATGATTACAGTGGATTATTCAAGTCAAATAATGAACACAAATATTTTAATATTACAAACAAAACATTATAAATTTAACATTAAATAATTATATTATCATTTTTATTTTTTTTATGTCCTCCCGCGGCCCCCCTGCAGTACCCTCGCGGCCCACCAGGGGGCCGCGGACCCCACTTTGGGAGACACTGTTCTAAAGGTTAATGCACTATCTCAAACATGACATGTCCAGTTGCCGCCTACTTTGCTTCTTCCTTCCTGTTCTTTCTCTCTGCAGTTCTGTGTCCTCTGACAGTTGGAAAAAGGCAAAATGGAGAAAACATAGCATGACTAACTCAATGTTATGACATTTTTTATGTGCAACACACAAGAATCCAAAATGATTATTAGTTACTTGATTGTAGTCCAAGCCAGGATGCAGGAGACAATGCACACTCCAAGCTATTGCTGCTCTAATTCTTTTCAGGGTGGAGTTACAGTCTATTGTTTATCTCCCGCGGTCATTTTGAAGATGGATTTCAGGCAGGTTTAGTTTAGCTATGGAAATAGCAATGTTGCCCTAGTATTTAGCAATTAAACAGAAAATGTTGTACATTACTTCACTAAATGGCGTGCCTGCGTAAGATGTGACCTTTCTTTGTTTCTAGATCAAGCTATGTGTGGGTCAGTAAGCTCTGATACTTACTCTCTTTTGATCAAGAGTATTCCCAATTTTGAAAAAGAAATGTGTGCCACATTTGAGGATATTTTTCATGATTGAAAAGACACGACAAAAGACACTTTTAGACAAATATAGTATGTTAAGAAGATAGATGGCAGTGTCCTTTTGTAAACCACCACTAAATTTACTTAATAGTTGTAAGAACTAAAATGGCAACAACACACATTTTGGGGTTACGAAAGTTGAATGCTGGTCCAGACCATTAACCTTTCTGGTATCTGCAGGTGGTCGTAACGTGAGCATCTCACTGCAGTCGCGGACGGGACACACACACATGCCATCTGTGGTGGGTCTGCTGGTCTTCACACAGTTCTGGTTCTGGTTCCCCCTGTCCCACTTCCTGTCACTGGCCTTCACCCCCACTGCCATCATCGGCCTCAACAAAGACCTCAAGGTACGTCCTATCCTTGTTGTATGAATGCATGAATTATGTATTGCTTGAGTTTCATCTTGTTTGTAAATACTATCTCAATGTGAGTCTTTGATTAATCACAACTATTTAATTATAAAATTCATTACATCCATATTTTGGGGATGTTTTACCCCTTTTTGAGGAAAGATTGGGTTAAATTTGAGAATCAGCATAGCCCTATTTTTTGCAACATATCACACTATTGATTTTATACGACTGACACAAACTCAGGATGATATAGTGAAGAAACGTGATAAACTTTATCGGTCTGTGTGTGATCTTCTCTTGGACGCAAAACATTGAATGATAAATAAATCGAACATGAATATTTTGACATCCTTTCTATTTAAGACAATGATCAGCGTGTTGACATTGCGAGGTATTGGCTTTCGGCTTCTATTGTCAGCGCAGCGCTAACAAAGCGCAGGTGTGAGGCACTTTGAAGATAATCCACGGATCAGAACGGACTTTGTCTCAACTTAGACGCACAGATCGGCAGCGTCGAGCCCCAGGGACACTCCAGCGCTCAGAGCAGAGCTGCAGCTGGACGGGCCGCGTGAGGGGAATATATGGTGGTGTAAAGACCTCCAGATTCAAACCACGCACATGGAAAACACAAAGCACCTGTTCACCTCAAGTCTGAGAGCTGCGGAGAGACAGCTGAACTCTGCAGACCACAGCGGGCACAAAGGGAGACACGACCTGCAAACGGCCACTCCTCCCGCACGCCGTTGAGTTTTAAAGCAGAAATATTATTCTAGTTTTGAATGGCCACATGCAGACTTTAGTCGTTTTGGATTGAGAATATGAATGACTCAAATCTGCATGAATCACTATAACACAACTTTGAGTGAGTGAGAAACTATAATATTGTTAAAAGCTCTTAAAAAGGGATTTTACTTTAGTAGTTACCATGCTCCCTCAGTTCAACTTCTAAGGCTGTATTCTATTTGTCTTTAAACAACGAATCTTGAAACGTATTTAGGGGCAGTTTGGAAGTCCCACCTCTCGTCTTCCACAGGCCACTAGATTTATTGCCATCCTCTCCCGTCTCTAGCCTAGTGTTATACCCCGCTCCCATCTCTGTGTGGAGTGAGAGGACAAATGCGCAAAAATTAACAATTGTAAACCGTTTTGTGACTCTGGTCTGTGAAAGGTGGTATATAAAAAATAAAGATTACTTACTTACTTACTGTCTTCTCGGCAACCCACACATGTTTTTCCGCATTTGCAGCTCTTTTTGCTAACCGGCTACCAAAACACACCGACAAACACATATGTTTCCGGCTATCACGGCAAACGGGAACGTGTGACTGGTGCTGGGCACAACGATTTGACAGTGAATTAGTGATGAAAACAAATATACACATTACATTTTCAATTGGATACAACATTTCCGTAAATACTTAAGGTGATGGCACTCCACGATGCTGTGAGAGGAATTATTTATGTCTTCTTTACACTACACTATCTTTTTAATGCACCACACAGAACAGGAGACTTTGACCAGACAGACACACACCCAGAGGAAGCCAAAACTCCCTTTGATAGCCCCACAACACACCTTGTTTTTTGGCATCACAACTACACCATCCCACACACACACTAACTGAAAAAGTAAAACGCTGTCCTCACACTGTTACAACTGTTACAAACAATATATTTCCTAACACTTCTGTGATAATATAGTAGTAGTAAATACGGATTTGCATTGTTCTGTAAAATGCAATTTGTCACTTTCATTCGTAATGTTTCGATAATTGAATGATAGTGAATATTTTGTTGGGTTTTTTTTCAATTTTTTTAGATGCCCAAGGTTCAGTATCGTTCCAACTGCAAGCCCTCGACGTTTGCTTACCCGCCTGCGCTGGAGGTTCCCAAAGAGAAGGAGAAGGAAAAGGTGAGACGTGTGCACTCGCAACAAAAGGTTTTCATTTTCCACTTCTTTGAGTAAATGGTCCGTGAAGCGTTTCCAATCATTTTGTACCCTCACACGGAGCGATTCGGCTTCCCACCGCGTTTATTATTGTAGCATCAGACGTTCATTTTTCTCCGTAGTCTTGCTCTCGAGCCTGATGTGCTCTCTGAAAGATTACGCTGTGGTCGCCTAGTTTCTCGAAGCAGAGTCTGTGTTTGCAGATGAGATTATGGACGTGTGAGTGTTGTCTTACACAAGGTAAAATGTCTCTGCTGGCAGGTATCCACCGCTGTTCTTTCCATCACGGCCAAAGCCAAGAAGAAGGAGAAGGAGAAGAAGGAAAAGGAGGAGGAGAAGATGGAAGTGGTAAGACTCTTTTTCAACCAACGGCTTCACAAACGTCTCACACAGAACCAACTGACTTTAATAAACATTTATATTCCCGGAAAATGCACCGAGCCGTGGGATCTGGCAGCACATATGTATTTACTACCCATGTCCAGAGCTGCTCAGTCATCAGCCGTCAAATGTTCAATGGGTTTGTCTTTGGGAAGAGACTATATTCTGGAGTATTATACTCAAGTCTGCGGAGGGGGGGAAATGGAGAGTGTTGTTAACATCTTTCCCTCATTCAAAACAGACCTGGAGTTGTTTTTAGATCCCTTCACGCTTCTTCCACAAATGTATAACTCGGGACGAAATGGGAAAACATCTCTCAGGAGCTTCTGTCTTCCCATTGGTCATGTTGTTAAACTGGTTTTACTTTTAAGCTAGCTGACACATCAGTACTAGCATTAAGTGTTGTATTGTCATCATGAACATGTTTAATACACAAATGTTAAATCTGTCACAACACAAAAAGGCATTTGAAAAGGCTTTTTCATAAATGATGCTTATTTGGAATGGACCATTTAAGTCTTACAAAAGGTGAACATTAGTTCAGAGCACTCTTTACTTTGTGTCAGTCTAAAATGTGATTTGGGTTCTCAGATGTTTGTCCTCAAACTAATAATAATAATAATAATACCTCCTTATAAACGTGTTTTCTCCTAATATAGGGATTTTTGTTTTTTATCTGAATTTTCTCATTTGTGTTGCCTAATGTCTTTCTGCTCTTCAGGAGGTCCTAGAAGCGGAGAAGGAGAAGGAGAAGGAAAAGGAGAGAGAGAAAGAGAAAGAGAGAGAGAAAGAAAAGGAAAAGGAGAAAAAGGAAGAAGAGAAGAAAAAAGAGGTGGAGCCAAACTTCCAGCTGCTGGAGAACCCGGCGCGTGTGATGTCTGCTCAGCTCAAAGTGCTGACGATGCCAGAGACCTGCCGCTACCAGCCTTTCAAACCGGTGACCACCTTTATCTATTTTTATCTTACACTGAGCCTGTCACTCAGCTCTCATTAAAGTCCACATCCTCCTCATAAATACTTAGCATCAGGAATCTATTTCCTGTAATCACTTGTCTAGAACGCTGGAGCACGTTTGCCCGGGCCGTGTCTGTGACCATGAATAACTTTTAGCGGTGCAAGACTATCCCAGAGCTGCGTGCCTCCATTTAATGAATCATGTCAAACGGAGATCGAGTTAGTTGGTTCTGGCGATCGCTCCTCGCTACAACGGCTGCTGTAAAACTCAAGTTTGTGACAGTAATGTTGAAGCCCGTCACACTGGCTCCGAGAAGACGACCTCAGTGTGACATCATCAGTTTGTGTTGGAAGGAAAGATGTTGGAGGCGTCTTTCCTTCCAAGTTTAAAGTTCTGATCAGTGGTCGATGGTTTAGTTTCATTATTTAAAATGTACAGTTTATGAAAAAATGACAAGACAAAGACACGGCAGAAGGACCAGGTTAACATCTGCATTGTTTAATGAGTGAAAGCTGAAATATTAAAGCTGGGGTACCTAACTTTTAGTTTAATAAAAAAAATCAGTGCACATAGTTTTGTCCCTCAGAAAGTTTACTGAATTGTTTTAAAATACTTGTATGAGCACTTTTGAGTCACTATTTCCTATGGGCACTAATGAGTGAGGGTGGTTCTTTCGCTCTTCTGACTGAAAAAGCAAATCAAAAGATGAAAAAAATACTGCATGTGAAAGTGACTATTGTTTAAGAAATGTTTTTGCATACCAAATCATCATATGCTAATTTAAGAAGCTATACCCGATTTTTTTTCTAAGTAGTTCATAAAAATGCTTTTTGCTACATACAAGTTGTATCATCATACATCATTTAATTGAAAACTTGAGGTCATTGATTCAGCTGTATGTATGAATTACAAGCAGTGAAAAGTGTCTTAGCGGGACGTTCTCCTCCAATCACAGAACAAGGAGCGAACAGCCTGCGTCCTCTAGCCTCTACAGCGCTGCTCAACACCAGGGCTTCGACTTCAAAATTCGAATATAATTCTAAAATTATATATATAAATATATATATATATATATATATATATATGCAAACAAATATTAGACAGCCCTTATAATTCGAAATGTATTTAATAACTGCAAATAAAATAGTTAGCTCCCAAAGGTTTCACCGGGACGTGCTAGGCAGGTAACAGCTAAGCTAGCTAGCTGTTTCATGGTAACTTCCTGGTTTTTCGCGATCGCTTTTTGTCACTTTAAAACAGTATTTTTGTCATGAAAACGTTGACAGCAAATTCTGAAATCGTCCGTGCATGTGTGTTATGGATGTATATGTGTACTGTATTGTCCGATTGACGTTTAATGGTGTTGATTGATTGATATGTATTTGTTTATTGAGCGTGGCTAGCTCCGCTAGCTTCTCTACACAGACAAGTGTGCAGAGAAACTGCTCAGTGTAGTGACAGGCGCTGATAGCTTGTTGTACTTGCAGAGTAATGGCAGTATTTTACACACCTGAATTACAAACAGAGATTGCATTGGGGCTGCGGTCATTGTTGATTTGAGAGTTCTGTTAGCAAGAAAAAATTATCGGAAGAATTGCATTTAAGTCAATGGAGTGTTGTTCTGCTGCTGTGAGGAGCTGTATAATAAATTATAATTAAATATTAGAATATATTCTGCTGTTTACATTAATACATTCGGACGCAAAACTAGCGGTATTCTTTTACTTATATATTGTGTTAGCAGTGCATTGCTTTAGTACCATTTCAGCAGTGATTGTTGTACAGCTTACAAGAAGTTGTGCTAAAGCTAATTAGTAATCTTTATTTAGTAATCGTGTTATGAGAGCGTAGGGGAAATGAGAAGCCATTGAGCGAGTTGGGGGACGGTGCTAAACATTCAAACATTGCAGAAACGGGTATAGCGCCTTTTAACACTAGGACCGCCGTGCTCTAAACATACCTTGCACCGCCCCCTGCGGTCAGTTGACCGCTATGTATTTTGCGCTGATACAGCCTTTTGCCAAATTGATTGTTCACTAAACCAGAATTTGATGTTGCAAAGGAATCGTGATCATAATGAAACTGTGTAAATTATTTGTCTAAATATGCTAAGTAATTGTAATTCTAGCCGAAATAAAAGACTAAGACGACACATTGTGCGTGTACTGATCCATCAAAATTACGATGACTTTTCAGGCTAGATTTATTTTGTAACTTTGCAAACACCTAAAAGGTTGCTCACTATATGTTAAATTTGACTCAGTAACAATATGTAAATTCAAACAATATAAATGATAGTTTAGAGCACGGGACCATAACGTCTTTGCGCTGCTATATACGTCTACTTCTTACGTCATCTCCAGACTGTTTGCTCTTTCCAGCCGAAATCACTGTGGGAAATATTATCTCGATAATAATAATAGTATTCGTATTGACACAAGATCATCAGCTAGGCTACCATCGTCAATGTAAAATCTTCAATTTTACACGGGACACGTTAGAAAGACAAATATATGTATATGTATATTTGTATTTATTTGAGACAAGCAGTGCTCTTTATGCTCAGAACAAAATTATAATCATTGCCTTGCAGTGCGCGCTGTGCAGAATAACACACAGTGTTATCTGGATGAAATAAGAATGAGATCCTTATTGATATATGAGGGCCGCCTCTGCCCCACAGTCGCTCTCCTCCTGCAGTGTCCGCGGGTGACGAGAGGCCTCACAGCGCTCTATCTGCACTCTGCCTTGATAGTTCATCTAATTTTTCTATTTTATTGCGATATTGTATTCTGCTTTATTGCCTTCTTCTATGTATAAATATAAGAATGTAATTGATGATGAATGAAAAGGCAGAATGGAGCAACAGCGCGCACACAGACACCTGCGTATGGCTGGCATTACGCGGGTCATGTGCGTTATTGCTTCTGGACTTGTTACAACACTGCTGTCCGTGCCGTGAATGCACTATGGGTTTACGTTCAGATTTAGAATATTATAGGTGTTCTCCCCGCTGTGACATCTCACCTCAAAATGTGACATCTCTCACCTCCGTCAGACTGTTCTCATTCAATGTCTTGAAGCACTGTCAGGGCTTCATACCGTGTACTTGCAGCTCTATTCATTTTGTACTCCTCTCTCTCCCAAATAATAATAAAAAAGTCCCTTTAGAGTCTAATGACAATATTGATACATTTTTATAAGGCGCGAAAAACCCCCGGGAAAGGTTACTATGACAACAGTCGCCCTTGCGCCATGTATCTCCATGGGGCAGCAGAAAGGGCTGTGGTTTAGAAAAGTTAAAATACGTGTAAATCTTGTTTTCTTTACTTTTTCCAAAACCAAAACACACCAAAATATAAACAACAAGTACCTAGTAAAAGTCATAAAATTTCAACTTCTGGCGTTTTGTTTTGAATACACTAATTAGCATAATAAAGTGAGTGACGGTCAGTTGACCGCTAGGGGCGCTCCTAGTGTTAACTACCTGCATCTGATCAGAAACATATCATAATTGAACGCTAAATGTTTATAATTATAACCATAATAAATCCAGAGGCTGCCTTCTGTCTGCTGAAGACTCATCGAAACACACATTGTTTTCACTAAAGGCTAAAGTAGTAGTTTCCTGTTGTCCTCAGCTTCACACGGGAGGCATCATCATCATGAAAGACACAAGTGAGGAAGACGAGGAGCTGGTGGAGCCCGTCTCTGCTCATGGCCCGAAGATCGAGGAGGAAGAGCAGGAGCCGGAGCCACCAGAGCCCTTCGAGTACATCGACGAATAATCTGGTGTGTGTTTGGTTTTGAAGGTTTAGTCCCGTTCACCTCCTTCCTTTGTCCTTCCTCCTTTCTTTTCTTTGACCCTTGGTGGTAATGCGTAGTTACATCATTTTAAAGTAAAGGTTCATTTGACATCACTCTTGTTGGTCCAGTTACTTACAGATGTGTGGAAAAGACACTTGTTTGGTGGTTTCACGTCCTTTGCATTTCTACCTCATGTGAAGCAGACCAATCATGAGCCTGTTTTGCATTTTGTCTGAAACTAGTCCATCAGTTGAAAATATATTTAGTAATATTGCATTTGAAATATTTTATTTGTAAAAACCATGAAAAGTGAAAAAATATTATTGAAGATTGTAGCCAGAGCAATACAGCATTTAATTTTTATTTGTATTGTACATTTGCATTTTCATTTGTTTTCTTTTATTCCTTCACAGGATTCTGACTCGGCCGCGTCCCTCCATGTTTCCAAATACGCCCTTCACTCCCGTTTTACACGTTTCATTCTTGATCTGGCTTTTTTTTTTCTCTCGCCAGAAACCGTGTTTTACATTCACAACTTGTTTAATTTCTCTGTCAGTACAATAAAAAATGATGTATATTGGAGGCTGTGTTTTGTCGTTAAATCGGAGAGTGAAAGAACAACTTTACAGGGAAGAAAATAAGCTTAAAGTGATTGTCTGGAGTTTGTCAGAAAGAGAGAGAGAGGTCTTTGATTTGAAAAAAACGACGCAAGCTCCCTCCCCCTTCCTTTCTGATTGGTCTACGCCTACGTTTCTGTAACACATTTAAATGTTAATCAGAGAACACATTATACATAAACATTATTAATACACATGCACAGGTTTCAGAATTATTGGTTTTAATGAAAAAAAAATGTTTTTATGCACAAAAAAAGCGATTGCGGCAAACCCGGAAGAAGCTATTATCAATAATTGCACATTATAGGACACATCTGCAGAGGATCTGATTATGGATATAGGTTCAGTATATAAATGGGTAACTCAGCACAGATGTTCAGAATTCTTTTTTTCAGTTTTCATGTAGTTCCAGAGCCTTGATTCGGAGGTTCCGCAAAAACAAACAACTGAGCATGCGCGCAGCTGCGAGCATCAGCGCTGATGATTGACAGCCCTTGGCATGACTCGATTGGTTAACGTGGACGGCATCGTGGATTCTGAGCTATAGCTAAGAGAAGGGAAGGTGGGACTTGCCTGTAATATTAGAATTAATGAAATGACTTATTTTATATCAACATTTAAGGCCAGGAGGTCAATTTAACACATTTCCCAAAATTTGTAATTAATTTAGAGTTAGACTATCACTTTAATATCGTTATGGCCTCGAGAAAACATTGAAGTTTTTGTAATTTGTATTTAACAGACATGAAGATAAACTAAACCTACGCTTCTATAATGGTCATTTTAATTATATCAACAAATCCTATCCTAAATCACTGAATGAAGCTTCTTTGGAAACGGTTCCTCGGACAGTTGTATTCTGGACCATGTGTTGGAGTGAGTTTGATTCCAAAGCATGAAACTGTTGGAAAATTCCTGTTCTGTGAAGTGTTTTTGAGATGATTTTCTGCTTTGTCAGTTTCCCTCAATGAAACCAATTCAGAGGAACATCTCCCTCCGTTCACTTTAGCACAGTATTCTTAAAGCTGGAGGATCTAACTTTGAAACCACAAGAACATTCATCTTATTAGTTTGGTCATCGCTAGTTTAGAGATAAAATAAGATGGACTTTATAGATCTGACACTGGAGAGGTTTACATGTCACATTTGGCATAGTCACTCGGATTGTGCACAAGACAAGTGTCCAACATGTTAAAGGTTAAAAAATGTTCTGCAGGAAATAATTATGTACAATTAATTTAAGAGTGGCAATAGCAGTGCAGGTTGTTCAGTCCTAGAGCGTTAGTGACTTATTGTACAGTCTGACAGAGATGGGGATAAAGTTCGTGCAGTGGGGCTCCTTTTCACATCCTTTGCACAAGAATAAAATGTGCTTTTAAATAATTTCTGTTGGAACAAACAAAAGCGAGGTACGTTGTTGCCTTGAAGTCTACATCAATAATATTTAGGGAAAATCTTTTTTTTTTTTTAAACAGAACTCTGTGTACCATCCTGTTCTTTGATTCCTTCCACACTGGTTATAAACCGCAGGACGGGATGGATGACCTCACGCCCAAATTCTAATTAGAGGAAATTCCAGTGTTAAATCTTAAGTGTCACAAGAGCACCGCTTATATACTCGTATGAAGGACCCAAATAGCGGAAAATATTGAGTTTAATATGAGCAGTGGGAAAGATGCACATATATGATCTGTATTTGAAGGAGGCTGAATACTTAAACAATGGCACACTTTTCAGGTTTTAATAACAAGATTTAAAGGTTTCAGCAGACCCCCCCAGAGCATCATTTGGTAATTAAGTTCTTCTTATACGTGAACATGCCCAGAATGCAAGAACAACAAAAGAACTGAACTGAAAAAGGTTCCTTCTTGCATTGTTAAAGATAATTTTTCCTCAACCTTATAAATCTGAGGGACCTTACTTTCAAAAATCCATCTACCAAAATAGTTCCATGAATGTTTGGCCTCTGTCCCATCTTTAGATCAGCTTTTTCCAGACAAAACATGACTTATATTTATATTTTTATATATGCCTTTTATCTTTGACTTTGATTTAACTTGTTTACATCATGAGCCAAAGCATAAATCCTAGTTTGTGACTTCCTGTTACTTACTGTGGCAATAATGAATATTCCCACAGGACCACATCACACAGCCAATCAGCTCTCAGCTCAGACAACACGTTTCCTAATAAGACACATTCAGCGTGCCGTGTCTGAATGTTATATTTACCATACGTTTTTTTAATTTTGTTTTATTTTATCTCCCTTACTTCCTCCCCTGTTTGTTCGAGCTTCTGTTCATTTAGAAAATAAATATTCAGTAACATCCCTGGCTGTAGGTTGTGTCCTCTGCTCACATGAAATTCAGTTATTCTTCCATTTGTGGAAATGCCCCAAAGAGGCATATTTCATCATGCTAAAAGTAGAGGTGATCTGCCACAGGGTTGAGGAAACCACAAAAGGGTTATTCTCTGTTGCTAAAGTAGAATATGAACCATGTGTAAATGTGAAACCTCCTGACTGCTTACAGTGTATACTCCACAATTATAGTTTTAGAGTTTATCTATTGTTTATCTAGAGTTTATCTGACATCTCCCGATTGAGGGACAATTAAATGTTATCTTATCTCAAATGATCTTATCAGCAACACAGCAATCTGCCAAACAAACTGGTCTCGTAAATGTATTATTGTCCATCCTTACAGAATATTAAAATGCCAAAGGGAGTTTTATTACACACAGAGCTCTTGGCACCTCTCGCATGACAGAGGAGCACAGAGCTGTTCTATTGTAAATAAAAATGCAAAATCAAAGCTGACATTGTTAAGACCTGCTGTTGAGTAGTTTAGTGTGTTGACATTCGCTCCTGCTCGCCTCACGCTGCCATCCTCACGTCCAAACAGTGTGGAGAGTTAAGGCTCTCTGCGGCTGCTGGCATCTGTCACAGCAGCAGATGTGCACTGCACACACAAAAGCATCATGTACTGTATTTGTACCAATTCACACAGAAACAAGCAACAAAGTATGTATTTAACCTTTGAATGTTCACTGCTTGAAGAAAGCATTTGTTCACTGCTTGAAGAAAGCATTTTGCTTTTCGGGATTTTCTATGATGTAGGAGCAACTAATAACTCAAATAATTCGTTTGTATGTTATTTCATCATAGGCCTTTACCAATTCATTTGTTGAGATGCAGTTTGATGGTAAAAGTGTCTAAAACTGAGTGATAGAGCTGCTCCGATGATGGAGATTTCAGTAGATAGTGACTCAAACAGTGATCCACCAAATGGTTGAAGAAACCATCCATCCATCCATTTTCTACCCTTTAATCCATTTCTGGGTCAGGGGGGTGGCAGTCAGAGATGCCACCCAAGTCTCATAGCACCAGCCCCTCACTGACCCTCTGCAGGTGGTGAGTCCACAGGAGGACGGCTGCTCTCTGAGTGTGAGCATAGCCTTGATCTTTCAGTGCGGGCTTTGGGCAAAGTGGGGTTAAGTGTCTTGCCCAAGGACACAACGACAGCAGTCATCAGTGGGAGTCGGTGGAGAAGGTGTAGAGGTGGGAATTGAACCCACGACCTTCAGGCCTGAAGGCCAATGCTCTACCAACTGAGCTACTGTCATGTCCCTTTAATGGTTGAAGAAACCATTAAAGGGTTAAAGCTGGGGTCATAACTTTGCCTCAATAGAACGTATAAACAGAAGGAGTTTTGTTAAAGTGCACAGACCACAACATGCTGTTTTCAACTTGAAAACACTGGAGCTTTTGCATACTTGTAAAGAAAAGAACCATATGAGTCACTGTTTATTGTGCTGAAAACTTGGCTGCTTGGTTCTATTCACTATTGTGCCTGATCCAAAGATGGAGCAAAGGTATAACACAGATGCTTTGAGGTGGATCTCATCACATTGTTTTTTGTTTTTGCTCTAAAATGTGAACTTTTGCGGAGCCATCTTGAAGTGTTTTTGATAAAGAATCATGACTGAAATTGGATGCCATTTCTTACATCCGCTCCCTTCAGGTGAAAGTCAGATCCTGTCAAAAACGCTCTCAAGCTAAGCAGGGCAGGGCCTAGTAAGTACTACTATGAGAGACTTCTGGGAACTGTTGTTGTGTCCTTTGGCATGACACTTCAGACACATCAGCTAGAACAGGGGTGTCCAAACATTTTAGTAAGAGGGCCACTTTAGTTCACCAGACTAGTCCAGGGGCCAACATCACAGACTGAAAAACTGTCTTGACTGCAATGGTGTAGGTTTGGTTCCAATCTTGGTGGGGACATTCACTACGACCTGAGTCTACACCCATTGACACGGGGTCCAGAGTTTCTCCCCCAGAATTTGTTGTGTAATCACACACTATA